GATAGATAGATAGATAGATAGATAGATAGATAGATAGATAGATAGATAGATAGATAGATAGATAGATAGATAGATAGATAGATAGATAGATAGATAGATAGATAGATAGATAGATAGATAGATAGATAGATAGATAGATAGATAGATAGATAGATAGATAGATAGATTAGACAGATAGATAGACAGATAGATAGATAGACAGATAGATAGATAGATAGACAGATAGATAGATAGATAGATAGATAGATAGATAGATAGATAGATAGATAGATAGATAGATAGATAGATAGATAGATAGATAGATAGATAGATAGATAGATAGATAGATAGATAGATAGATAGATAGATAGATAGATAGATAGATAGATAGATAGATAGATAGATAGATAGATAGATAGATAGATAGATAGATAGATAGATAGATAGATAGATAGATAGATAGATAGATAGATAGATAGATAGATAGATAGATAGATAGATCACGCTAGACTAGACTAGATTAGAAAGTCTAGATGTTCCTACACAACAACTGAAGTGACAGTGGTTTCAACTTGCAACAGTTACATTTCCGGTTCGTCACATCATAAACAATAGCACTTCACATTGTGGCCACAGCTCGGTCGGTTGGGCACCAGTTGGTGACACTGACTCCCCAGTATTGGTGTGACAGTACCTGTCGTGTACACACAGGAACAAGAATCCTGCCACGAATGACAAGACACCTGTTTTCTCTGTGTCTGTGATATCGCCTCTAGGTGTACACTAACGGTGGATTTAGAAGGTAGGTGTTACAAGCCTTGTGCTGAAGTAAGGGAATTCAGACATTCTATGCTGTGTACTGCCTGTATCAAGAACATTCACACTCTGGTAATATGTTACAGTTTAGTCCGCTATAATATATTCATGTATTACAAGCCTTTAGACACATAACCATCGTCGTACTCTTGTGGGATGCAATGTTTTGCTATTTTGAAGCCCTACCCCGGCTTTTGCCGGGGCCCGTGGTATAGCCTAAAGGTTGAATGCGGTTTCTAGGATCTCTCAATGTGTGATTTTCATCCGCATGGTGGCACTTTATGTCACCGGGTGTTTATCGCTCTGTTTGATGTCCTGGTGGGGTCAAATGTACTTACATACATGCAAAACACACACATCAAACTGAGGGCACTTGTTACATCACGCCTGCCCGGCGCGCATGTATGTATGCCTGTGTGTTTTATTAACACATAAACCAACTGACAGTTAAAAACTCAAGATATTGGGTACCGAGAGAGGACTCAGTGAAACAGTTTGATGCTTGAGTGACTTCTTGGATCACTCAGAGCCACGCCCCCAACCCTTTCCTATCTAGCCAGGATTTCTGTGTAGATACAATCAGGATACAAACGCCGATGTGCTCAAGTAAACAGAACCATCTAGAGTGTCCGTGTTTAGTAGATCAGCACACACAGATATCTACATTGTAATTGTTTCAATGATCAGTACACATAATTATCTACACTGACAGTGTTTAGTATAGTACATCAGCACACACAACCACCTACAGTGAAAGTGTTTAGATAATCAGTATACACATACATCTACAGTGTAAGTGTGTAGTAGATAGGTATACACACATACCTAACATGTAAGTGTCTTCACACACATACATCTACAGTGTGAGTGTGTAGTAGATAGGTATACGCACATACCTAACGTGTAAGTGTCTTCACACACATACATCTACAGTGTGAGTGTTTAGTAGATAATTATACACAGATATCTACAGTGTAAGTGTGTAGTAGATAGGTATACACATACATCTAACGTGTTAGTGTTTACACAGACATCTACAGTGTAAGTGTTTACATACACAGACATCTACAGTTTAAGTGTCCACCAGTTCTAATGTTTGTTATCAGAGCGTGCAGCAGGGCAGACAAAACATGGGACAGCTGTGCCGATTCACACGATACACTATAATTGTATGCAGCACTATTTTTTTTAGAAGATCTTTACAGTCTTTTAGTCATACAGCTACACACGTTCACAGTGTTTCATATCTAACCATATAAATTACCCGCACGCGCACACTCACACACTCGCAAAGCCTATACACACACAGAGGGAGGACAAACGAACGAACGAACGAACGAACTTTATTTTCAAAGGGTTACAAATTAGGCACGCAGGCCTGTCTTACATTCGGCCCTTCCAAACTTCCATCTTTCACACAGCAATTGTATTTCATCAATAAAGCATGTTATATTCATGTAATGATATGCATATTATGGAAATGAAGTCAAAAACAAAAGCATGGGTGTTAAAATATGTGCGCACGCTCACGCGCGAACACACACACCCACATACACACACAAGCATAATCACTCACTTACACACAAACACATAGGCACCCAGTGCACACATACATCCACATACACACGAACATGCACAGACAGACAGACAGACAGACAGACAGACAGACAGACAGACAGACAGACAGACAGACAGACAGACAGACAGACAGACAGACAGACAGACAGACAGACAGACAGACAGACAGACAGGCAGGCAGGCAGGCAGGCAGACAGACAGACACTATGCACACTATGATACAGATAAGGTTTAGAGATTCACTAATGAGTGTTTTCATAATGTAAAGCAGTTATCAGAAATATTTGTGCTACTGAGAAAATATCGCAAGATGAGGAAATGGCCCCAGTATTAAACAGCAAAGCAGCGCGAGACCTGATCAATGAATAATACAAAGAAGAACACAGCGGGAGTATGCATCACCAGGAACTTACCAATCCTAGGTTAATGGCCACATTTCAAATCGTTTCGGCCCGTTTAACCTCTAGACAATTTGGGAAAATGGGGGAAGGGGGGTGAGAAAAAAGAGGGGGGGGGTTAAACTGGGTCATGACTTTCAGGCGCCGGATTACTTCTGCTGCGCTTATCGGACAATCGGACAAGACGTTATGATGATTTGCTTGGCCATCTTTTTAGAATGCCCCAAGATCAAATACCATCACAAGCACTACATCTCAGAAGATCAGCTACAAGAGCAAGAGGACGGCTGCGGAAAACATGGATGGACAACATTAAAGACACTCTACGCCTTCACGGCATGACAATAGCCAGTGTCAGCCAACAGGCACTGGATCCCAAATTATTCCTCGCCAAGACGCTTAACGGCAGAAGTGGTTTATGATGATCATGATGATAATGATTATGATGACTAAGGTTGTTCTGATGTATCGTGGCTGCGATAACAAACTAAGCGCCTACCTGTAGGACCAGAGTGACAAATGGACCAACCGGTTCATCGGACAGAATTTGACAGTTGGCGGTATCACGGGCACACGTTGATCGGACAACTTTGGCTTTAGGAATTTAAAAGTTCTTTACCAGTAGTAACTCGAACCAGTCTACAGAGGCCTATCCCTCACGTCGTTACGTTGTGTGCATATTGAAAAAATACACACAGTTGATAATGTTACATTCACTGATAGATTTAGAGTGAGAGGTAGGAAGAGTTGGTGAGGTCTTATGGCAAAGGTGAACGGACGCTGTTTGAAAACAGCCTGTAATATAAAGTCACAACATCCAGTATGAGAATGGAGGTGGAGGGGATCATGGCTGTTTTGTGATGACCTTAGGGCAGCACAACCCGACATGTTGTAATTGTATGGCTAACGGTCATAGACAGTTAGCTGTCATCTGTGTGGCTAACGTAACGTGGACAGTGTCAATGATTACAGCAGAACCTCGCTTAACGAGCACCTCTCACAACGAGTAATTCGTATAACGAGCAAAACAAATTGTAAAAGAATGACTGGCTTGACGTAGCATCGTAGTGTCGCTTGTTATCACACATTTTCTCAAACTTGTGTTATATTGTGATACATGTGCATGAATCCTCCAGGCCTACAAGAATACCTCCCTGAAGAACGTAAGTTCATCAAGATCCAGTTTCTACCTTTCAACACCACTCTGTTACTCCAGCCCATGGACCAGCAAGTTATTTCTGACTTTAAGAAGCTCTACACTAAAGCACTCTTCGAGCATTGTTTTCAGGTGCCTGAAGGGACCAACCTTACTCTCAAAGAGTTTTGGAAAAATCACTTTCACATCGTTGCCTGCCTCAAGATGATCGACACGGCGGGGGAAGGATTTACCAAGAAAACCCTAATTTCTGCTTGGAAGAAGCTTTGGCCGGAGAGCGTTGTCGATTTGTGACTTTGAGGGGTTCGAGACAGTACCTGTGGAACCTTTAGTCAACGAGATTGTGTCTTTGGCCACTATCATGGGATTGTAGATGGATAACAGTGATATCGAAGAGCTTGTGGAAGAGCACAGCCAAGAGCTGACCACCCAAGAGCTTATGGAGTTGCATTGTGTTTCACAGCAAGAAGTTTCGGAGGAAAGTTTGTCAGAGGAGGAGGTGGAGGGTGTAACAAAAGAGCAACAATCTTCTGGCGAAAAAAGAGAGAAATGCTGAAAGCATGGGAAACTGTTGCATCTTACATTGAGAAGCATCACCCTAATAAGGAAGTGGCTATGCGCGCTGCAAATTTTTACAATGATAATGCTGTGTCAAATTTTGAAGCTTCGGCAAAAACAAATGTCTCTGGTCATCTTTCTAGTAAAAAAATAATTAGCTATGTATCATAATTTGTTCGACTTTTTTTTTCTTCCTGCAAATCGAATTCGTATTTCAGATGGGTTTGTCCCGCGTTTGAAGAAAAGATGAAGATGATTCAATTTCCTTAAAAATATGTACATTATTTTCTTTGTATAAATGTTAAACTAGCATTTTGTAAGTATTTTTTTTTCGACATTGAACGCATAATCGTATTTTACATTCATTAATATGAGAAACACTGATTCGCACAGCGAGTGTTTCGCTTAACGAGTATGATTCTGGAACGAATTATGCTCTTTAAGCGAGGTTCTACTGTATTTCTCTCTCATTCCTAGACAGATCCACTGCCAGCAGATACCCTACCCCCGCCGACATGGCAGAAACATGTGATCTTCATGGCTGGAACCTGAATCAGACGATACAGGAGGTGTGGCAACTGCTTCTCAAAGAGGAAGAAGATGAAACAGTCTACAAACTACCAACGTTCATCATTCTGGCCATCCTGATGCTGGTAGGCCTGCCTGGCAACATCCTGGTCCTGCTCGTCTACGGCTTCCGGTTCCCAGCATCCACCACCAAGAACTTCATCATGGCTATGGCGGTGTTTGACCTCATTAACTGTCTCCTTGGAGTGCCCTTCGAGATGGTTGACCTGAGATACGACATGCAGTTAGACATTGCTGTGGTTTGCAAGGTAACATTCGTTGCTATTTTATTACGGATGTGAGTCGTAGACATTTATTCAGTCAGAGAAGAATAAAATCGGAGCTTATGAACTACTGTAATGGTAGAGAAATATATTTAGAATACCATAGCAAAAACTTGACAGTCTTTCTGATCTTAGCATCAACTAGATCTGGCCCATAAACAGCATTCAGCACTGATGCTGAGTGGTCACGAGATATGGCATCCCTTTCGAGTTCTAGAGGTCCCAGGTTCAAACCCCGGTGAAGGGTGGGATTTTTTCACCTAGTAAGATAGGACGCCAAGTTTATTGTATTGTATTGTTGCGCGCGTAAAAAATTCCTTGGCAGTTGGAAATCGAATCCCAAAGTATTTTCTGATCCTCGCCGGTGCAATGGAGTTTGTGCATTGCGCTGGGGAATCTTCAGAAGCAGGCTTATGTTAGAAGTAGAATCGAGCACTTATGTATGCCATGACGTTGATCCGTTGAATAAACACAAACATATACATACACATAAATATATTCATAAACATATACATAAACATTTACATAAACAGCATCCTGTCCCGAAAGCTCGGGTAATTTGGCCGTGCAAAGCGTCATGGCAGACTGGAGAAAACGTTGATAGAAGGTACAGCTGATGTAGGGTACAGCTGATGGAGGGTACAGCTGATGAGGGGTACAGCTGATGGAGGGTACAGTCTCTTGAGTTGATGGAGTGTACAGTTGATGGAGGGTACAGTCTCTGGAGAGTACAGTTGATGGAGAGTACAGTTGATGGAGGGTACAGACTCTGGAGAGTACAGTTAATGGGGGGTACAATTGATGGAGGATACAGTTGATGGAGGGTACAGTCTCTTGAGGGAACAGTTGATGGGGGGGGGGGGGGGCACAGTCTCTTGAGGGTACAGTTGATGGGGGGGGGGGCACAGTCTCTTGAGGGTACAGTTGAGGGAGGGTACAGTTGATGAAGGGCACAGTCTCTTGAGGGTACAGTTGATGGAGGGTACAGTCTCTTGAGGGTACAGTTGATGGAGGGTACAGTTGATGGAGGGTACCGTTGATGGAGGGCACAGTCTCTTGAGGGAACAGTTGATCGGGGGGGGGGGGGGGCACAGTCTCTTGAGGGTACAGTTGATGGGGGGGGGGGGGCACAGTCTCTTGAGGGTACAGTTGAGGGAGGGTACAGTTGATGAAGGGCACAGTCTCTTGAGGGTACAGTCTCTTGAGGTACAGTTGATGGAGGGTACAGTTGATGGAGGGTACAGTTGATGGAGGGTACAGTTGAGGGAGGGTACAGTTGATGAAGGGCACAGTTTCTTGAGGGTACAGTCTCTTGAGGTACAGTTGATGGAGGGTACAGTTGATGGAGGGTACAGTTGATAGAGGGTACAGTTGATGGAGGGTACAGTTGATGGGTGGTACAGTTGATGGGTGGTACAGTTGATGGAGTGTACAGTTGATGGAGATTACAGTTGATGGAGGGTACAGTTGATGGAGGGTACCAGTTGTGCACTGTCTTGTGTATCGCTACACAAGAGTAACACAATGCATCTCTAGCATTACCTGTCGACCACTGTGTTCCCCGGCTGTTATGGTGCGAGTGTTTCCCACTGTTATGGTGCGGGTATTCCCCACTGTTACAGTGCGGGTATTCCCCACTGTTCACTAATTGACTACACAAATTGACTCTCTCGCTCACTGAGCTCATCCTGGTCTGAGATTGTCAATAGGGAGGGGGGGAGAGAGGGAAGGGGGAGAAGAGGAGGGAGGAAGAGGAGAGGTAGAGATGGGAAGGAAGGGTGTGACACAGCTACAAAAGATATCATTTGGTCCGTGGTATTTCGTCGCTGATTGTGAATTTGTACGATCCACTCACAGATTATCCGGTTCTGGATCTCGCTGAGTGCCTGTGGATCTGTCACCGTTCTAGTTGCTGTGTCCGTGGATCGCTTCCGGCGGATCTGCCAACCGTTCCGGAAACAGATGACTGTCAGACAGAGCAAGGTGGTCATTGCAAGCATGACACTGCTCTCTGTGACTTTCGCGGTCCCAGCCCTCATTTTGTACGGTCGGCACACGGAAATCCGGTGAGCTTCTCGTTTAGAACATTGTTGTCACCGCCACCATCACAACACCAAAATTCACTTCTAACATTATCACAGCAACAACAGGTTAAAACATCGTTGCAACACTAAGAAATACTTCAAACATTATCACAACAACAACAGGTTAAAACATCTTTGCAACACTAAGAAATACTTCAAACATTATCACTACAACAACAGGTTAAAACATCGTTGCAACACTAAGAAATACTTCAAACATTATCACAACAACAACAGGTTAAAACATCGTTGCAACACTAAGAAATACTTCAAACATCCCAACACTAACAACTACCAATTCTAACATCATCACAACACCAACAACGACTTCAAACATCATCACAATAACAACAACCACTAGTCACATCACAACAGAAACAAATACTTCTAACATCACTACAACAACAACTACTTCTAACATCACTACAACAACTACTTCTAACATCACTACAACAACAACTACTTCTAACATCACTACAACAACAACTACTTCTAACATCGCTACAACAACAACTACTTCTAACATCACTACAACAACTACTTCTAACATCGCAACAACAACTACTTCTAACATCGCTACAACAACAACTACTTCTAACATCACTACAACAACAACTACCTCTAACATCACTACAACAACAACTACTTCTAACATCACTACAACAACTACTTCTAACATCGCTACAACAACAACTACTTCTAACATCGCTACAACAACAACTACTTCTAACATCGCTACAACAACAACTACTTTTAACATCACTACAACAACAACTACTTCTAACATCGCTACAACAACAACTACTTCTAACATCACTACAACAACAACTACTTCTAACATCACTACAACATCAACAACAACTTCTAACTGCATCACAACTCCAACAACAACTTCTCACATTACCATAACACCAACAACCACTTCTAACATTGCTATAACACCAACAACCATTTGTAAGATCACCGCATTGACAGCTACAACAGTTACTTCACTGCATCAACAACCACTACAATTACCACCGACATATTTCGAAGAATTATAATACTACTGCTACTAGCCATCTTTTGTCATTGCAATTATGATATATATATATATTTTTTTTTTGCTGTGTATATCTGTGACCATCCGGATTCCTACCGTGAAATTTGTTTTACGATTTTCATTTTCTGTCATGAGATTTCTATTTTCTACTCTACTTTCTACTTTACTCTCTTGTAACTGTAAGTTGACAATGTGCAGCAGGATGGGTTCAAGAATGGCTCCGAATGTTCTAGACTCCCACTACAATGGCTTCAGTAGTTGAAACTACAAGTCCATCTTAACAAAATACATGTCATGCATTCCATTCAAGCATTTCTACTAATCACTTGTAGAAACGTGTGTGGACAAGCTGTGTACCTGTTAGTTTTAAGCCGACCTGAAGAAGCGAGCTTGTCGTGGTTACTACCAGTCATTTCAATGAATTGACTACTATGAAAATCCTTGTAAAATGACCGTTTATTTCTTTTCTTGAGAGCACTATTTCTACAGTAACACTCTGAGATGAGCTGGAGCCAAACATGAATGACAAACATTCACAGCTATAAGAGTCATTTACCCCCTGGCGAAAGTCTTTGCTGATATCACTAATATTATTTGTAACGGCAATGAATAGCCAAGCCTGACTCTGTCCCCAGGTATGGTATGGAACTGCACGACTGCTCCATCGATGACGTCTACAAGACAGGGACGTTTGCTGCCATCTACCAGTACATTCTAGGACTTACCTGGACGGCCTCCATCATTGTGTTGGTCGTTATGTACAGTTTCATCATCTACAAGATCCACCACCAGAAACAACGACGGCAGAAACTCTCCGGCCATTCACTCGGGAGCACCACGGCATTGAACACACGGAGAGTGGACACTACGGACCACAGCTGTCGGAAGTACAATGGCATCACGAGATCAAGCAATGAACACAGTTCTTTCGTCACATGCAGACACGTTACAGCAACAGCCCCGAATGGAACCTGCTGCAAGCGTACCTCGGGAAGCAGCGATAACGAATCTGCCAAGAGTAGAGGCAGTAGGTTTGTAAATAGATTGTTTTCTAGGGACGTGAATCCAATATTAGAAGATGAAGACGACGAAGAAACAGCGGATCAGATTTATGACGTTGATGAGGAAGTCCTGCAATTGTCAGACAGTGAATGCAGTCCCAGATTGATCAGATACCAGAAAACAAGTTTGAATAACTACCTAGCTGACTCACAGGATACAGGCTTCACGTACAGACCAGACAGTATCCAACAGACTGATGCAGCAGACTTCATCCAGCAGACTGATGTGGCAGACATCATCCAACAAACTGATTTGACAGACATCACTGACGATACTGGTGCAGCCATGCACAGAACTCGCAAATACGGTCACTCTTTTGGGCGGTATCGGCCCTGGGAATCAGATAAATTGATATCTGGTGTGAGTACTACCAGTTCTTCCTGGGATCGAAGCTGGATTTCTCACAGCGACCACAATGTCGCCTGTGCTGGAGTACAAGGCCATTGTTACAGTTGCCAGACTGGTCGATCATCTTCGCTCTGCAGTCTGAAATGTATAGGGCATCAGCAACAAAATGGTGGCCCTAAAGATACACCACGTTGCTGCGGAGACGAGGACTGTACCGTATCGAAACATAACAAAGAGGACAAGTCGCCAAGTCGAGCCCTAGAGATTGGTACAGACATGACACAACAATCCAGTCGTGCATCGTCACGTGCTTCCGCTGGCAGCAACCAGGTGTGTCACGGGCTGAGGGGGTCACACGTTACCCAACCTGGTGGGTGTGCTCATGAACTGAGGACATCACAGAATGAAGACCCACATTCACAAAACGGTACTCATCATCTCACAGACCCAGTAAAGACACACAAGACAGAGACAACTTTGTCGCTTGCCAAAAAGAAAAAATCTATTTCAAGGGAGATAAAAACATCTAAAGTTAGCATCATGATGTTGATGGTAACACTGGGTTTTGTGTTGAGTTATCTTCCTCATTTATGCATACAGATTTTCAAAAGCATTTCTCCCTCTACAGTAGAAAGACTCCTGTGCTCCAGTAGGGTCTACTTTCTGATATTACATTTGTTAACCAGGTCGTTTTTCATCAACAACGCCATCAACCCGATCATCTACAGCTTCTACAACAAAACGTTCAGGGACCGTTGCTTACGTCTTCTCCGGAGACCCAAATCCTTACTGCAGAGTTCAGAGCACCATCCGGGCCAGGCACTGTCCTTCTCACAAGACAATGATACTTCTTAGTGCTCTCACAGGACAATTATACTTCTGTGTGCTTTCACAGGGGAAACATACTTCATAGTGCTATTACAGGACAATAATACTTTTTAGTGCTTTGACAGGACAAACATACTTCATAGTGCTCGCACACACGCATACTCACATAAATTGTCATCCAGACAATACTTAAAAAATGGTGAAAATATGGGGGTGACTGCACTCAACATAATACAAACTTCTTATTATACTTCTCGTCCTTTTTAGGATGAAATTTTTCGTTTTTTGAAGCCCTACTCTTGCTCTTGCCAGGGGCCGCAATATAGCCTGGCCATAAATGTGGCCTAAAGGCTGAACGCGGTTTCTGGGACCTCTCCACGGTGATCCTCACCCACATGGTGGTACATTGTATCATCGGGTGTTTATCGCTTGTGTGATGTCCTGGTGGGGTAGAAAGTCAGTCAGTCAGTCAAGTTAATACAAGGAATTCCCCAAAAATTGACCTTTTAGTAAAATTTCTCTGGAATTCAAACAATAGCTCAGTGTGTCTAATAGTTTTCCTGGCCATCAGTGGATGAAGAAATTCCCCGGTGGAGTTCGTATCGTATGTCATCATGCGGTGGTCCTGCCTACCATATTGTGTGCCATGCTTGTACTCCGGCCCTGCATACCTACAGTGGGTTGTTTGTTGGCTCTCATTTTTCACTACTTCACCACCTGCGAGGAATTCCCCCAGGCTCTCATGTTTCACTACTCCACCACCTGCGAGGGATTCCCCCAGGCTCTCATGTTTCACTATCCACCACCTGCGAGGGATTCCCCCAGTCTCTTATGTTTCACTACTCAACCACCTGAGGGAGATTCCCCCAGTCTCTTATGTTTCTCTATTCCACCACCTGCGAGGGATTCCCCCCAGTCACTCATGTTTCACTACTCCACCACCTGAGAGGGATTCCCTCAATCTCTTATGTTTCTCTACCCCACCACCTGCAAGGGATTCCCCCAGGCTCTCATGTTTAACTACTACACCACCTGCCAGGGATTCCCCCAGTCTCTCATGTTTCACTACTCCACCACCTGCGAGGAATTCCCCCAGTCTCTCATGTTTCACTACTCCACCACCTGCGAGGGATTCCTCCAGTCTCTCTTTACTGTAACTAAACAGTGATGCTGCTGATGCCATGAGTTTGGCAGTTACATGACCGAACCCACTGGGTCAGACATGCTGTCTGGCAGTTAAATGACCGAACCCACTGGGTCAGACATGCTGTATGGCAGTTACATGACCGAACCCACTGGGTCAGACATGAGTCTGGCAGTTACATGACCGAACCCACTGGGTCAGACATGAGTCTGGCAGTTACATGACCGAATCCACTGGGTCAGGCATGAGTCTGGCAGTTACTTGACCGAACCCACTGGGTCAGACATGCTGTATGGCAGTTACATGACCGAACCCACTGAGTCAGGCATAAGTCTGGCAGTTACATGACCGAACCCACTGGGTTAGACATGCTGTATGGCAGTTACATTACCGAACCCACTGGGTCATGCATGAGTCTGGCAGTTACATGACCGAACAAACTGGGTCAGACATGCTGTCTGGCAGTTACATGACCGAACTCACTGGGTCAGACATGCAGTATGGGGGTTACATGACCGAACTCACTGGGTCAGATATACTTTCTGGCAGTTACATGACCGAACCCACTGGGTCAGGCATGAGTCTGGCAGTTACATGACCGAACCCACTGGGTCAGACATGCTGTCTGGCAGTTACATGACCGCACCCACTGGGTCAGGCATGCAGTCTGGCAGTTACATGACCGAACCCACTGGGTCAGGCATGCAGTCCGGCAGTTACATGACCGAACCCACTGGGTCAGGCATGAGTCTGGCAGTTACATGACCGAACCCACTGGGTCAGACATGAGTCTGGCAGTTACATGACCGAACCCACTGGGTCAGACATGCTGTCTGGGGGTTACATGACCGAATCCACTGTGTCAGGTAAGCTGGCGGCGAAAACATTGTAAGTGGGGAGAGAGGGGGCCGTCTTATCTTCTTTCTAATCGTCTTTGTGTCAGGGCTCAAAGAACCTTGTTTTAATGGACCCTTATTATTATTTTTGTTCTTATAACTATATGTTACATGACAAATGAATATAATCACATCTTTGAAAAAATGAGAAATGTATAAAGAAATACTTAAAAAGAGAACACAGTTCCGTCTCCCAGCTTGTAAGATGACGGTACGACACTGTGAGCTGCGAATTTCTTCAACGAAGCTTTTCGACTGAGCCTAGCCTGGTTTGTGTTGGTAGCTGCAGATTTAGTGAATGGCGAGTTGCCTGTTGCCATAGACCTGGTGGTGCCTTATGTGATCAGTTGTGTGCAACTGCTGATGTCATTGCTGCTTCTTTTGACGATAGACTTCATACCCAGTGCCGGACTGTTTGTGTTAGCACTTTTGACGATAGACTTCATACCCAGTGCCGGACTGTTTGTGTTAGCACTTTTGACGATAGACTTCATACCCAGTGCCGGACTGTTTGTGTTAGCACTTTTGACGATAGACTTCATACCCAGTGCCGGACTGTTTGTGTTAGCACTTTTGACGATAGACTTCATACCCAGTGCCGGACTGTTTGTGTTAGCACTTTTGACGATAGACTTCATACCCAGTGCCGGACTGTTTGTGTTAGCACTTTTGACGATAGATTTCATACCCAGTGCCGGACTGTGTGTGTTAGCACTTTTGACGATAGACTTCATACCCAGTGCCGGACTGTTTGTGTTAGCACTTTTGACGACAGACTTCATACCCAGTGCCGGACTGTTTGTGTTAGCACTTTTGACGATAGACTTCATACCCAGTGCCGGACTGTGTGTGTTAGCACTTTTGACGATAGACTTCATACCCAGTGCCGGACTGTTTGTGTTAGCACTTTTGACGATAGACTTCATACCCAGTGCCGGACTGTTTGTGTTAGCACTTTTGACGATAGACTTCATACCCAGTGCCGGACTGTGTGTGTTAGCACTTTTGACGATAGACTTCATACCCAGTGCCGGACTGTTTGTGTTAGCACTTTTGACGATAGACTTCATACCCAGTGCCGGACTGTTTGTGTTAGCACTTTTGACGATAGACTTCATACCCAGTGCCGGACTGTGTGTGTTAGCACTTTTGACGATAGACTTCATACCCAGTGCCGGACTGTTTGTGTTAGCACTTTTGACGATAGACTTCATACCCAGTGCCGGACTGTTTGTGTTAGCACTTTTGACGATAGACTTCATACCCAGTGCCGGACTGTGTGTGTTAGCACTTTTGACGATAGACTTCATACCCAGTGCCGGACTGTTTGTGTTAGCACTTTCGACGGCTGCCTTATGCATTTAATATATGTGTGTGTGTGTGTGTGTGTGTGTGTGTGTGTGTGTGTGTGTGTGATATTGGCTTTGCTTAGACTGCGGTCTTTTGTCATTGTCTCCCTCACAAGAGACAGGGATAGACTTTCTGTGTGGTTTTCATTGGCAGATGAAGGGAGCAACTGGGGGGGGGGGGGGGGGGGGTAACGTTTTGTGAAATGTGAACTGTGATTACCTGATTAAAGAGAGAACGTCTATGAACGGTTAGGGAGCAACCACTGAGGCCCCATTCCACATTTTCTAGGAGCAGGGACTCAGCCCTTTTCGTAAGAATTACTACCCCCCCCCCCCACCCCTTCACCCCTCCCAGGTGGCTAACGCCCATGATTTGAATCTGTTTCCCTACTGACACTTTCTGGCTGCTAGCTACATCTATCGTACTTCCTTCTGGTCTCTACTCCATATATTGAGTCATCTTCGTTGACATTCCGTCACTGTGGCTGGTGTGTTTCTTGTGTCCAGTCCTGACACTAATGCTGCTATCTTAGGCTGATGGCTTTAACAAATGTGATTCCTGATTTCCATCGGCAGAGTTAGATTATCTGGTGCTGGTCACATCCGGTCAGTTAATCAGTTATTGTCTAATTACAAACTCTGCTCATCATCATCATGTGACAGATGTACTGCAGAAACTTATTGTCGTCGGGGTCAACTGGAAACCAATCTCTGTCTTACACCAGTTCCTAAGCATGCTGCACTAACATGCCCAGCGTGTCGGTCAATCCCTGTGTCTGTCTGTACCTCTGTGTCTGTCTGTACTTCTGTGTCTGTCTGTACCTCTGTGTCTGTCCATACCTCTGTGTCTGTACCTCTGTGTCTGTCTGTACCTCTGTGTCTGTCTGCACCTTTGTGTCTGTACCTCTGTGTCAGTCTGTACCTCTGTGTCTGTCTATACCTCTGTGCCAGTCTGTAACTCTGTGTCTGTCTGCACCTCTGTGTCTGTCTGCATCTCTGTGTCTGTCTGCACCTCTGTGTCTGTCTGTACCTCTGTGTCAGTCTGTAACTCTCTGTCTGTCTGTACCTCTGTGTCTGGTTGTACCTCTGTGTCTGTCTGCACCTCTGTGTCTGTCTGTACCTCTGTGTCAGTCTGTAACTCTCTGTCTGTCTGTACCTCTGTGTCTGGTTGTACCTCTGTGTCTGTCTGCACCTCTGTGTCTGTCTGCACCTCTGTGTCTGTCTGTACCTCTGTGTCAGTCTGTAACTCTCTGTCTGTCTGTACCTCTGTGTCTTTCTGTACCTCTGTGTCTGTACTTCTAGGTCAGTCTATACTTTTGTATCTGTCTGTACCTTTGTGTATGTCTGTACTTCTGTGTCAGTCTTTACCTGTGTGTATGTTTATATTTCTATGATAGTCTGTATTTCTAGGTCAGTCTGTATTTCTTTGTTAGTCTGTATTTCTGTGTCTGTCTATTTTTCTGTGTCTGTCTGTTAAAATCTGTATGAATGTAAACCTCTTTGTCTGACTCTAAACCTCTTTGTCTGACTCTAAACCTCTAGCTATGTCTGTAAACCTATGGTCTGTCTGTAAACGACTGTATCTGTCTGTATTCTGTGTCTGTCTGTAAACCTCATTATCTGTCTGAAAGCCTGTGTCTGCTTGTAAATATGTGTCTGATAGTAAACCGTGTGTGTGTGTGTGTGTATGCGCGTAGTGCATATGCTTTTGTGTGTGTGTGTGAGTGTGTGCGTAGTGCATATGTGTTTGTGTGTGTGTGTATGTGCGTAGTGCATATGTGTTTTTGTGTATGTGTAAAGCTATGTTTTTGTTTGTAAACTATTTGTCTATATGTAAGCCGTTGCAGCTGTAAACCTGTCTGTTTATGTGAACCTATGTGTGTGACTGTAAATATTTGTGTGTAACTAGAAATCGCTGGATGTTGCTGTAAATCTATGTGTGTGACTGTAAATCTTTGTGTGTGACTGTAAATCTATGTGTGTGACTGTAAATCTTTGTGTGTGACTGTAATTCTATGTATGTCTACAAGTCTATGTGTGTGACTGTAAATCTATGTGGGTATGTCTGTAAATCTATGTGTGTGACTGTAAATCTATGTGTGACTGTAAATCGATGTGTGTGACTGTAAACCTCTGTGTGTGTGTGTGTCTTTAAACTATTTTGTCTACGTGTAAACCATTGTGTTTCCAGTTGGGTTCTTTCTAAGTCACTGTAATGTTTGAGCAGACAAACTGTTTCTATGTCCATGACAGACTGTTTCTTTGTCCATGACAGACTAACTGTTTCTATGTCCATGACAGACTAACTGTTTCTATGTCCATGACAGACTAACTGTTTCTATGTCCATAACAGACAAACTGTTTCTATGTCCATGACAGACTAACTGTTTCTTTGTCCATGACAGACTAACTGTTTCTATGTCCATGACAGACTAACTGTTTCTAGTGTTGTAGTCAGTATCTTGTGGTCAGTATCATGTGGTCAGGATCACGTGGTCTGTATCATGTGCTCTGCATTAAAAGGTCAGTATCATGTGGTCTGTATCATGTGGTCAGGATCATGTGGTCAGGATCATGTGGTCAGGATCATGTGGTCAGGATCATGTGGTCAGGATCATGTGGTCTGTATCATGTGGTCTGTATCATGTGGTCTGTATCATGTGGTCTGTATCATGTGGTCTGTATCATGTGGTCAGGATCATGTGGTCAGGATCATGTGGTCAGTATCATGTGGTCAGTATCATGTGGTCTGTATCATGTGGTCAGGATCATGTGGTCTGTATCATGTGGTCAGTATCATGTGGTCAGTATCATGTGGTCAGTATCATGTGGTCTGTATCATGTGGTCAGGATCATGTGGTCAGTATCATGTGGTCTGTATCATGTGGTCAGGATCATGTGGTCAGTATCATGTGGTCTGTATCATGTGGTCTGTATCATGTGGTCTGTATCATGTGGTCTGTATCATGTGGTCAGTATCATGTGGTCTGTATCATGTGGTCAGGATCAAGTGGTCTGTATCATGTGGTCTGTATCATGTGGTCTGTATCATGTGGTCAGGATCATGTGGTCTGTATCATGTGGTCAGGATCATGTGGTCAGGATCATGTGGTCTGTATCATGTGGTCAGGATCATGGGTTCAGGATCATGTGGTCTGTATCATGTGGTCTGTATCATGTGGTCAGGATCAGGGGTTCAGGATCATGTGGTCTGTATCATGTGGTCAGGATCATGTGGTCAGGATCATGTGGTCTGTATCATGTGGTCTGTATCACGTGGTCAGGATCATGTGGTCAGTATCATGTGGTCTGTTTCATGTGGTCAGTATCATGTGGTCAGGATCATGTGGTCAGGATCATGTGGTCAGGATCATGTGGTCAGGATCATGTGGTCAGGATCATGTGGTCTGTATCATGTGGTCAGGATCATGTGGTCAGGATCATGTGGTCTGTATCATGTGGTCTGTATCATGTGGTCAGGATCATGTGGTCTGTATCATGTGGTCAGGATCATGTGGTCTGTATCATGTGGTCTGTATCATGTGGTCTGTATCATGTGGTCAGGATCATGTGGTCAGTATCATGTGGTCAGGATCATGGGTTCAGGATCATGTGGTCAGGATCATGGGTTCAGGATCATGTGGTCAGGATCATGTGGTCAGGATCATGTGGTCAGTATCATGTGGTCTGTATCATGTGGTCTGTATCATGTGGTCAGGATCATGGGTTCAGGATCATGTGGTCAGGATCATGTGGTCAGGATCATGTGGTCTGTATCATGTGGTCTGTATCATGTGGTCAGGATCATGTGGTCAGGATCATGTGGTCTGTATCATGTGGTCTGTATCATGTGGTCAGGATCATGTGGTCAGTATCATGTGGTCTGTATCATGTGGTCAGTATCATGTGGTCTGTATCATGTGGTCAGGATTATGTGGTCAGGATCATGTGGTCTGTATCATGTGGTCAGGATCATGTGGTCAGGATCATGTGGTCTGTATCATGTGGTCAGGATCATGTGGTCAGTATCATGTGGTCTGTATCATGTGGTCAGTATCATGTGGTCAGAATCATGTGGTCAGGATCATGTGGTCAGGATCATGTGGTCAGGATCATGTGGTCAGGATCATGTGGTCAGTATCATGTGGTCTGTATCATGTGGTCAGTATCATGTGGTCTGTATCATGTGGTCAGGATCATGTGTTCAGGATCATGTGGTCTGTATCATGGGTTCATGATCATGTGGTCAGGATCATGTGGTCAGTATCATGTGGTCTGTATCATGTGGTCTGTATCATGTGGTCAGGATCATGTGGTCAGTATCATGTGGTCTGTATCATGTGGTCATTATCATGTGGTCTGTATCATGTGGTCAGGATCATGTGGTCAGGATCATGTGGTCAGGATCATGTGGTCAGGATCATGTGGTCTGTATCATGTGGTCAGTATCATGTGGTCAGTATCATGTGGTCAGGATCATGGGTTCAGGACCATGTGGTCAGTATCATGTGGTCAGTATCATGGGTTCAGGATCATGTGGTCAGTATCATGTGGTCAGGATCATGTGGTCAGGATCATGGGTTCAGGATCATGTGGTCTGTATCATGTGGTCAGGATCATGTGGTCAGGATCATGTGGTCTGTATCATGTGGTCTTGATCATGTGGTCTGTTTCATGTGGTCTGTATCATGTGGTCAGGATCATGTGCTCAGTATCATGTGGTCTGTATCATGTGGTCAGGATCATGTGGTCAGGATCATGGGTTCAGGATCATGTGGTCAGGATCATGGGTTCAGGATCATGTGGTCAGGATCATGTGGTCTGTATCATGTGGTCTGTATCATGCGGTCTGTATCATGTGGTCAGAATCATGTGGTCAGGATCATGTGGTCTGTATCATGTGGTCTGTATCATGTGGTCAGGATCATGTGGTCAGTATCATATGGTCTGTATCATGTGGTCAGTATCATGTGGTCTGTATCATGTGGTCAGGATCATGTGGTCAGGATCATGTGGTCTGTATCATGTGGTCTGGATCATGTGGTCTGTTTCATGTGGTCTGTATCATGTGGTCTGTTTCATGTGGTCTGTATCATGTGGTCTGTATCATGTGGTCTGTATCATGTGGTCTGTATCATGTGGTCTGTATCATTTGGTCAGGATCATGTGGTCAGGATCATGTGGTCAGGATCATGTGGTCTGTATCATGTGGTCTGTATCATGTGGTCAGGATCATGTGGTCTGTATCATGTGGTCAGGATCATGTGGTCTGTATCATGTGGTCAGGATCATGTTGTCAGGATCATGTGGTCTGTATCATGTGGTCTGTATCATGTTGTCTGTATCATGTGGTCAGGATCACTTGGTCTGTATCATGTGGTCAGGATCATGTGGTCTGTATCATGTGGTCAGGATCATGTGGTCAGGATCATGTGGTCAGGATCATGTGGTCAGGATCATGTGGTCAGGATCATGTGGTCAGGATCATGGGTTCAGGATCATGTGGTCAGGATCATGTGGTCTGTATCATGTGGTCTGTATCATGTGGTCAGGATCATGTGGTCAGGATCATGTGGTCTGTATCATGTGGTCTGTATCATGTGGTCTGTATCATGTGGTCAGTATCATGTGGTCAGGATCATGGGTTCAGGATCATGTGGTCAGGATTATGTGGTCAGGATCATGTGGTCTGTATCATGTGGTCTGTATCATGTGGTAAGGATCATGTGGTCAGTATCATGTGGTCAGTATCATGTGGTCAGGATCATGTGGTCAGGATCATGTGGTCAGGATCATGTGGTCAGTATCATGTGGTCTGTATCATGTGGTCAGGATCATGTGGTCAGTATCATGTGGTCTGTATCATGTGGTCAGGATCATGTGGTCAGGATCATGTGGTCTGTATCATGTGGTCAGGATCATGTGGTCTGTATCATGTGGTCTGTATCATGTGGTCTGTATCATGTGGTCAGGATCATGGGTTCAGGATCATGTGGTCAGGATCATGTGGTCTGTATCATGTGGTCTGTATCATGTGGTCTGTATCATGTGGTCTGTATCATGTGGTCAGGATCATGTGGTCAGGATCATGTGGTCTGTATCATGTGGTCTGTATCATGTGGTCTGTATCATGTGGTCTGGATCATGTGGTCTGGATCATGTGGTCTGTATCATGTGGTCTGTATCATGTGGTCAGTATCATGTGGTCAGTATCATGTGGTCTGTATCATGTGGTCTGTATCATGTGGTCTGTATCATGTGGTCAGTATCATGAGGCCAGTTCTTTACCTCCAAAGAGATTTCCTTGTACATATTATAGCGGGGAACCACATTAAACTATAGTAATTTTTCAAATCCTTATCTTATACTCGGTATAATATCTATCCATGTCATTAGCTCAGAACCCAAACCTTATGTAAATGTACTTAGTTGACAAACACACAACACTGGCAGCCTTGTTAGGGCAGTGGATAGGAGAATTGGGTGGCTTCCAGGGTTCACCCAGCCTCTAGGTAATGGGTACCAGAGTTAACACTCAGGGGTAAATGGAGAAACGTCGCTGTAACTACAGAGTTTTGTGAGACGGCGACACAGGCGGACAGTTTCTTATCTACTGTCCGTACTGATGGCAGAGCACTTATGGCCTATAACCGTGTGCAATGACGCTAGTTTCCATTTCCCAATTTTACCTTTTTTTTTTTTTTTTCAACAACAAAAAACTGAAGCACATTGATAGCTGAATAGTTTATTTGTTAAATAAAATTGTCATAGAGTAAATAAACTGGTTGGATATCACTGTAGATAAAAAAAAACATGTATTACTGGAGCAGCTTAGGTCAATAATTGAGGTTAAACATGATATTTATAGCACATCAATCGAGCATGTCATGGATCAATAATTGAGGTTAAACATGGCTTATAAAGTATCTCAAGCAAGCAGGTCATAGATCAATCACTGAGGTTAAACATGGCAAGTATGTCGAATGAGCAGGTCACACATCTTTCATCTGGATTCATTAATTAATTTAAATTAAGTTACAAGAGCAGAATGCTGACAAATCATAAAAGTTAAACACCTGATATACATTTTATCATACAAAGTCTACTGATGAATCGCAGAAGTTAAATGTGCCATATAAAGTTAATCATACAAACAGGTTATGGATGAATCAAAAATGTCATATAAAGTTTATCGTACAAGCAGGTTATGGATGAATCAAAAATACCATACAATGTATGTCATACAAACAGGTTACGGATAAATCATAGAAGTTAAAAGTAATGTAAATATTACATGAGTAGGTCACAGTTCTGTCATTTGAGTTAAAAAATTGTCTTAAATAAAATCACATGAGCAGATTAGGTCAACCAATTATATTAAACAATTTACTTATATAAAATCAAACCAGCAGGTTAGATCAGTCATCCATGTTCAATATGGCCTATTATGTAAATGTGATAAGCAGATCATGATCAGTGATGCCTTAAGTTAAACATGATAAAAAGAGTATGTCACACAAGCGACATGCAAGGCAATCATTGAAGGTTAACTCTTTGAGTCCCAAGGAACGCATCATACGTTCATAGGTTCCTACCTTGAAGCCCAATGAACGCATGATGCGCCAATTTTATTACTTTCTTTACTACCCCTTGGGCCTGTGATGCTAAAGCCCCTGGGACTCAAAGAGTTAAACAAGGCCCATATAGTGTATCCCACAAGTGGGTCACAGACAAATGGCACAAGTTAAATACGACACATAAAGTATACCATTTGAGCAGTTACTGAAGTTGACCATGTTAAAGAAAATACAGTCGATTGCGGATAAGTCGAGTTTTCAAAGCTAAAAATATATTTTCGAAACTAGAGGTCGACTTATATGGTAGGTATAAAATGTGCTAGGTAGGTATAGTGCTGCCTCAGAGTTTTTCAACTAAGAATCTTGAAGACGACTCGCACACCAGGTGGACGTGTATGCCGCAGTTGACCGTATATTATGTCAGCGGGTTTCAGATCAATTATAAATGGGCAAACATGACATACACATATAGCACGTGGCAGGAATGTCTAGATCAACATGTCAACATATTTGTCTTGTGTCTGCAGCTTTACAAGAATGGCACTGGGCTCCCGGGGGAGTAGGGGATTCACCAGTTTTGAGATCAACAACATCAACAATTCTGTCGTGTGTGTGCGTGTTTGCGTATGTAGGTTTGTGTGTGTGTGTTCTTGTGTGCATGCCTGAATGTTTGCATGTAAACACGTGTGAACTTGTGTGTGCATGAATGTGTGAATGCGCGTGCGTGTGTTTGTGTGTGTGTGATTGTGTGAATTTGTGTATGCGCTAATGTGGGAATGTGCGCATGAATTTGTCTGCTTTCATGTGGATGTGTCTGTGAATGTGTGTATATGCATGAATGTGTTTGTGTGTGTGTGTGTGTGTGTGAATTTGTCTTTGCATTCGTGTATGTCAGTGTTTGTGAGTGTGCATGAACTTGTGTGTGTGCCTTGAATTTTATATGTATGTAAGAATGTGTGCATATGCATCAGTGTGATTGGGTGAATTTGTGTGTGTATTCATTTGTGTGAGTGTTTGTGAGTTTGCATTCATTTATATATACATATGTATATATTTGTGACTATGTATGTGTATGTATGAATATGAGTGTGTGAATTTGTGTGTCTATTCGCTAGAGAGTGTGTGCGTGTGCTCATGCGCACCCCTGTATTATTCTGTCACGTCCAAATGTTCATGCAAAAACTTATTCTTTTTTCAGTTTCTTCATCAACGTCTTGACTCTCTCCATAAACCTCTCCAGGGCCTGTAGAATTCTCTTATTCCTCCTGCTCAGAGCCGCAGTGGTACCTTTGGAGGAGGCTGCCGGAGTAGAGACAGTGTTTGCTCCTGGCTGGCTAGAGACAGAGTTTGCTACTGGCTGGCTAGAGACAGTGTTTGCTACTGGCTGGCTAGAGACAGAGTTTGCTCCTGGCTGGCTAGAGACAGTGTTTGCTACTGGCTGGCTAGAGACAGAGTTTGCTCCTGTCTGGCTAGAGACAGTGTTTGCTCCTGTCTGGCTAGAGACAGTGTTTGCTACTGGCTGGCTAGAGACAGAGTTTGCTCCTGGCTGGCTAGAGACACCTGCACTGCTAGGGCTACCTGTAGGTGTGGCTTGTGTTGACAGCTTTGTAGTGGTCATGTCACCTGTACCACTTGTAGTGGCAGCCTGCGGTGGCACAGTGTCAATTATCCTTGTATTTACATCACTGCCAGGTGTATTTGGACTCACAGATCCAGCAAGTGTGCTTTTATCGGTGGATCTGAAAGGAGTTGTTAGACCTGTAGTGCTGCTTGGCATAGGTGAACCCATGGGCTTGACAGTTGAAGGTGAGCTGGTGTATCTGGCAGCTGCAGGTGACTCCATGAGTCTGGGAGTTGGGGCTGAACCTGTTGATCCAGCTGGGGTTGACCCAGTAGGGGCTGCTCCAGAAGGTTTAGCATCCCCAGAAGTTGACCCAACAGGCAGTTCTGACACTGTCTTGTAATCGGTTCTGTCAGCTTCTGTGGCTGGTGACCAGTCTGTCACGTTTCTGCTGGTGTCACAAACCAGATGCCTGTCATCATTGTTGCTGTCTCCATTGTTGTGGCACGTGTTGTTGATGTGGCAGCCAGTGTTCTGTGAAAGTACAACATACAAAGTGTCTAGCAGGGATACTACATTCATGTTTGTTTGTCTGATAGATCGAGAGTGAGACACACAGATCAGCAGACACACTCACAAACAAACTGCAACACATCACATGTTCCCATTTTGCTCGTCATCATCTTCTTCATCCACCTCTTCTTCATCCTCTTTCCTTCTTCTTCTTATTTTTCTTTCTCTTCTTTCTCTTCTTTTTCTTCTTCTTCTTCTTTTTTTTCTTTCTATTCTTCTTCGTCTTCTTCTTTTTTTTCCTTCTTATTTTTCTTTCTCTTCTTCTTCTCCTTTTTCTTTCTTCTTCTTCTTCTTCTTCTTCTTCTTCTTCTTCTTCTTCTTCTTCTTCTTCTTCTTCTTCTTCTTATTCTTCTTCTTCTTCTTCTTCTTCTCCTTCTTCTCCTTCTCCTTCTTCTCCTTCTCCTTTTTCTTTTTCTGTTTCTTCTTCTTTTTATTATTATGGTTATTATCATTGTTATTATTACACTTATGTTTCCGTTGATTCTACTGATTCTCATCGTCGTGGTTCTTCTCCAAAAACAGAAAAACTTCTAGAGTATACTTGTTTACAAATGAGTGAATAAATCTCCAGTTTCGTGCATGTCCCTAGGATCGTGTTTGCCCATCATGTTGTCCAATCCTGTGCTGACATTCAGGTCACCGTCAAGGCATTAATAGAGCAGCTCTGTCCGTGACTGACTTTTCTAGCTGAAGCTTGGCATCACATCTTCTCACAACTGATTCCATAGACCATTGGTGCTGAAAACTAGTGTTAGGAGCGTTAGCACTGAATCAGATTCATTTGTACTCTTTTGCTGGTGAGTGTGAATCTTACTTCTGTTGTTCTAGAACCATCTGTATCCAATTCTACTAATTCTGTTCTCTGTTACCAGAGGTAATGTTAGGACCCCCTTTCTTGAGGCAGTTTCACCAATTACCATTTGCTTCACCTGCGTTTAAGAGCTTTATATCTCATGTATTCATCTTGTTTCACATAATACAATAATGTTAGGACTTTAAAAAAGAACACACGTTCATGTATCGTGGGCGGGCTCATGCTGTTCGTCCATCTCTAGTGATGAAGACCACATTTATTCAAAGTAAGCTGGATGCAAGTGATTTGTACAAGGACTTGGATTAAAGTGAGGAAGGGTTGCGCAATTCATCGACCTCTCTCACCTATGTCCGTCTTGATCCAATGGCAGGACAATGTCCAGATGATTTGAAATGGACCTAGGTGCAGTGGATGACCAAGGCTTCGTAAGTGCCCTGACAAGCTCAAAGCTCATTCACGCATGTACACACATACACACACTCATACATACAACATATGTACACATACGCAACACTTCTCTAAAAATAGGTCTAAATGTAAGGAATGTGTCAACGTAACAAAAACATCTGTGATAACCATCCTACTGACCTTTGAACTGCAGCCAACATCGCTACAGTTGAGGCAGAGAGAGTCGAACATGTAAACAGGCAGCTCGTTGCCATAGACTGTTCCATCACTGGTCACTGACACCGTATAGTTCTGGATTGAGTGGGCTGGAGACAGTTACAGATAGATTTGAACATACAAGTCTATATGAAGCCTGAGGTTGGTCAACTGGTTGTATATCTACACATAATGGTGTATACAGGATGGGGGCTTGCTATTAAATGCTAGCAGTCGATAGTTCTGCTACCTCACGTCACTGATGTTGTTGCAAACAGTTTCTCATTTTACAAGCCAAGTTTAAATCCATGAAACAAATTGTCAAGCAATCCAAATCACGACAGTTGAGAATTATTTATATCTAATACAAGGGGAAGTAACTGATATAATTAACTATAAGATAAGTAAATGAAAGATTATCTTAAATGTATCAATATGAGATACTACCTGCTGGTGTTCTAAGGTAAATACGTTGATTTACAGAAAAATGTTTAATATCTCTAATTTCACTATATAAGCCCTTCATTAATATCAGTTTGGCAGTTTCATCAAGCTCATGAAGCTTGTATCACAGTTTGTTGCTCTTGTGTTAGCGCTCTCTATATCAGTCCATCTTCCTCTATTGCCTACATAATTGTCCCTTACGTCCTTATTAGGACGTAATTTTTTGTTATTTGAAGCCCCACTCTGGCTTTTGCCAGGGGCCGCAATATAGGCAGGTCATCATTATGGCCAAATGTCTGGACGCGGTTTCTGGGACCTCTCCACGGTGATCCTCATCCGCATGGTGGCACTTTGTGTCATCGGGTGTTTGTCGCTTGTGTGATGTCCTGGTGGGGTAGAAAGTCAGTCAGTCAGTCAGTCTCTATTGCCTACTTCCAACAGAGAGCTCATATCTGTATTTCATTAAGCTCGGCATATGTACAATAAATTGCATTTACCGCTTCCTTGTATTTTTGATTTGTAGCAACTGTGTTTCTCAATATCGGAATATCTAATTCGTTGCCCATGCTATTACAATTATTCTCTGCTCATGATATTCTCATAATTCTTTTATATAGATTATTCTCATACTCATTCTCTGCCTATGAAATTCTCATTATTCTTCTCTGTCCATATTCTCATCATTATTCTCTGTCTATGATATTCTCATCATTCTTGTCTGTCCATGATGTTCTCACCATTCTTTTCTGACCATGATATTCTCACCATTCTTTTCTGTCCACAACATTGTGATAATTGTTCTCTGCACATGATATTATTATCATTCTTTTCTATCCATGATATTCTCATTATGTTTTTTAACATTTAGATTTTCGTTGCCTTCAGTTTTCTTCTGTTTCATGACTCATCAGCTTTTCAATTTCTCATTGCCTAGATGTTCTACAGATGCCATACAGTCTGTTAGCGATCAGGTTTTGAGGTTTGTGGTGATATTTCTTTGTTTTCAGAAATCGTAGTCTGTATTAAACAGACAGACAGACAGATGTACGAATGGACAGACAGATGGATAAGCAGATAGACATACGTATGAGCGAACAGCCAGATAGCCAAGGAGACAGACAATACAGACTTACGTGTTACTGGTAAGGGGCAGACAACTCTGGTGGTGAAATCACCTTCAGCATCCATGACTGTTGGCGGTCCAGTTGTGTTTCCTTGGCTCTGGACAAACACAATAAATCACCTGCTGGTTAGCGCCCACTGGTTGGTTAACTGATTACTGATTTTAGAATCGACCTCACAGCACACCGGGCATACCCATAGATGCTTCGTCTCCCGCAGCAAATGTCTTAAGGTGAAGATGCTAACTGTTTTCGTAGCAAACTGATTATAAACACGTCGTCCTCTTCCTCTCATCAGTCCATCCTTGCCGAATCCACACCTAATTCCTTGTTCACACATTCTCGCACATGTTATTTCATCTAATCTCGTCCCTTCTGTCGGCAGTCATTCATATGTGGTCTTTATAACATGTCCCTTGTCATGTACGAGTGTTTCCGTTGCTTTGGCTTTTGTAGCTAGAAAAATCCGCTCTTTCATTCCCTCACACTCCTGCATATTCCGAACAGTATATTCACGTGAGTTCTAGCAATGTTGCCACACACTGGCAAAAACAGACCTGGCTACACAGAACTGGCTACACACAACTGGCTGCACAGCTGGATCAATGGCCAAGTCCCTGTATCATTGATCAACTATCTGTTTCATTGGTTAATTGACTCTATCAGTGGTCCCTTATCTGTTTCATTGGTTAAATAACTCTATCAGTGGTCACTTATCTGTTTCATTGGTCAGTTAACTGGATCAATGGTAAGTTATCTTTCAAGATCTACAAACTTAATTTTTTATCCGATTTTCAACTCAGTTAACAAGGACAGATCAAGAAATGTCAATAACAGAGACTGAGGTAGCAGTATTAAGCATGTACCACATAACATTTGATGAGACTCTTTTAGTCCAAGGAAAAGCATGACCTGTGACTGGCTGCTTCCTGCGACTCTAAACTATTGTGCAATGTGTCTGCATAGAGACAGCTGTTGTTCTATCCCATTCTAACTGAGACAACTGTTACTCTATCAAGTTCTATCTGAGACGCCTGTTATTCTATTCTGTTCTATCTTAGACTATTGCCTATCTCAGTCTATCTGAGGAAGAGAAATTATTCCTTTTTATAATAAATATTCATAAGTGAAAGGGTTGCACTCTAACTCCAATAGAATGTGCATCTACATCACCAGATGCGTAGAGTACTTAAACTTCCCTATACTCTAGCCCTCTCCTTGTCTGTGGACCATCCAGCTGTCTCAAGAAATGATGTTTCCCTCTGTGTGTATAAGTAAGGTGGCAGTCTCCACCTTGGAACCCTACTGACTTTGTACCAGAGAATGTTACTGTGCATGAGTTAAGTAAACAAAGTAAGTAAAGGACCCTTCTCATGCCTGTATGCGTATAGGGCATATAGGGCTAGACCTATATATTTTTAGACAAATCGGCAAAAGATGGGTGATGTGGTCAGCATCACGCCGGCCACCTCTACTTCCCGAGACTGCACCCGGTACCCCCTCAAGGCTGGTTTGACCTGGGAGCCAAGGTCATTTTTGAAAAAAAAGTCCGGCTCCGCCAGGGAGCAAACCCACGACCTTCCGATTCGCTGTGAGCATTTAGCCGCTTCACCACGAGGACTTCCGTGCATGAGGTACAGCAGATTAGAAGTGTAAGAGAACTGTACTCACATCAACAGGCTGCACCCGACATTTCAACTTGTCATGAATGTTAACATTGGACTTGTCAAACTGAAAATGTTGGCAGGACTTCTGTTTGACATCACACCAGGGAGACCTGGAGAGAGAAACAGATCCAGTGGGTCACGTGTGCAGGTACTCCAACAGTAGACAGAGCCTGTTTTTGTTTATGTAGTACATTCCAACAGCAAACATAAAGGGATACAAACCGCTCTAATGCTAAAAGATAGACAAGAACAGCCACACATACAACATGAAACAGTGGACCTTTTTACTGTGTGGAACAGATGTGTAGCTTCCAAGGGTAGACACAAATATCTCTCAATAAATTGTGACAAGTGACAGTGAACATGGGTGACTTCTCTTACCCTGACGTCCAAGTGATCTGTGGACCCTTCCCTGACTGGATCTGACACGTCTCCCCCTGCCAGCCATCCTGACACACACAAGTCCCGTTCTCAGCACACCTGCCGTGGTCTGTACACTCATCGGAGCAGACGTGGTCACTGAACTGCTTGTCCAGCGCCATGCCACCATCAGAGCCCTGCTGGTAGTTCTTGCTGTTGCTGGCCGCTGTCATCTGACATTTGCTGGTGAATGAAGACGTCACCGCAGGCAGGGTCTCATTGGTGCCTCCATCCTGGCAGAATATCAACCAATCTCAACATAAAGGTGCTGGCAAGTACAGGAACAACATGAAAGGTAACCTTCAAGGAGATACATAAGGAAATGGAAGAGACACCTCTTACTCCCGACCAGGTACTGAGCCTCCCAGCTCATTCGCCTTGCCTGTCACCAAAACCTGCGACTGAAATCACCTGCCACAGGAACTACATACATGCAATCAGATCCTGCGACTGAAATGACCTGCCACATGAACTACATACATCCACTCAGATGAGTAACGCATTTGTCACGCTATGTTGGGGGAAGGGGGAGACGTGTTCTAGCTAATAGATATGTGTTGTTCTTTCAGAATTCTGAAATTTTTTTAAAACACCTAGAACATGTTCAGTGAGACGTTCACAACCTGGTCAATGAGGTTACCTGCACATTTGTTTAGTCAATGAGATTATCTGCACATTTGTTTAGTCAATGAGATTATCTGTACATTTGTTTGGTCAATGAGATTATCTGCACATTAGTTTGGTCAATGATATTATCTGTATATTTGTTTAGTCAATGAGATTATCTGCACATTTGTTTAGTCAATGAGATTATCTGCACATTAGTTTGGTCAGTGAGATTATCTGTATATTTGTTTGGTCAATGAGATTATCTGTATATTTGTTTGGTCAATGAGATTATCTGTATATTTGTTTGGTCAATGAGATTATCTGCACATTTGTTTAGTCAATGAGATTATCTGCACATTTGTTTGGTTAATGAGGTTACCTGCACATTTGTTTAGTCAATGAGATTATCTGCACATTTGTTTAGTCAATGAGATTATCTGTACATTTGTTTGGTCAATGAGATTATCTGCACATTAGTTTGGTCAATGAGATTATCTGTATATTTGTTTAGTCAATGAGATTATCTGCACATTTGTTTAGTCAATGAGATTATCTGCACATTTGTTTGGTCAACAAGATGTCCACAACCTGGTCAATGAGATTATCTGCACATTTGTTTGGTCAATGAGATTATCTGCACATTTGTTTAGTCAATGAGATTATCTGCACATTTGTTTGGTCAATGAGATTATCTGCACATTTATTATGATCATGATCTCCCTAAGTCATCACTCCGACCTGAGAATTGACAGTGACAAATGTTAGAGTGACTAGTTGCTCTCGCCTTAGCCACATTACATCTAAAGCAAGGGTTTCTGTAGAAACATGAACAATGGCACAACTGACAGCCAGCAATGTGGGATGAACAATGAAACAACTAGCAGCCAACAATGTAGGATGAATAATGGCAAAACTAGCAGCTAACAATGTGAGATGAACAATAAAACAACTAGCAGCTAATAATGTGAGATGAACAATGGAACAACAAGCAGCTAATAATGTGAGATGAACAATGGAACAACTAGCAGCTAATAATGTGAGATGAACAATGGAACAACAAGCAGCTAATAATGTGAGATAAACAATGAAACAACTAGCAGCCAACAATGTGAGATGAACAATGGAACAACTAGCAGCTAACAATGTGAGATGAACAATGGAACAACTAGCAGCCAACAATGTGAGATGAACAATGAAACACCTAGCAGCCAATAATGTGATATAAACAATGGAACAACAAGCAGCTAATAATGTGAGATGAACAATGAAACAACTAGCAGCCAACAATGTCAGATGAACAATGGAACAACTAGCAGCCAACAATGTTAGATGAACAATGAAACACCTAGCAGCCAATAATGTGAGATGAACAATGGAACAACTAGCAGCTAACAATGTGAGATGAACAATGGAACAGCAAGCAGCTAATAATGTGAGATGAACAATGGAACAACTAGCAGCCAACAATGTGAGATGAACAATGGAACAACTAGCAGCTAATAATGTGAGATGAACAATGGAACAACTAGCAGCCAACAATGTGAGATGAACAATGAAACAACTAGCAGCCAACAATGTGAGATGAACAATGGAACAACAAGCAGCTAATAATGTGAGATGAACAATGGAACAACAAGCAGCCAACAATGTTAGATGAACAATGGAACAACTAGCAGCCAACAATGTGAGATGAACAATGAAACAACTAGCAGCCAACAATGTGAGATGAACAATGAAACAACTAGCAGCCAACAATGTGAGATGAACAATGGAACAACTAGCAGCTAATAATGTGAGATGAACAATGGAACAACTAGCAGCTAATAATGTGAGATGAACAATGGAACAACTAGCAGCCAACAATGTGAGATGAACAGTGAAACAACTAGCAGCCAACAATGTGAGATGAACAATGAAACAACTAGCAGCCAACAATGTGAGATGAACAATGAAACTACTAACAGCTAATTATGTGAGACGAACAATGGAACAACTAGCAGCTAATAATGTGAGATAAACAATGGAACAACTAGCAGCTAATAATGTGAGATGAACAATGGAACAACTAGCAGCCAACAATGTGAGATGAACAATGGAACAACTAGCAGCTAACAATGTGAGATGAACAATGGAACAACTAGCAGCTAACAATGTGAGATGAACAATGGAACAACCAGCAGCTAATAATGTGAGATAAACAATGGAACAACTAGCAGCTAACAATGTGAGATGAACAATGGAACAACTAGCAGCTAACAATGTGAGATGAACAATGGAACAACTAGCAGCTAACAATGTGAGATGAACAATGAAACAACTAGCAGCCAACAATGTGAGATGAACAATGGAACAACTAGCAGCCAACAATGTGAGATGAACAATGGAACAACTAGCAGCTAATAATGTGAGATGAACAATGGAACAACTAGCAGCTAATAATGTGAGATGAACAATGGAACAACTAGCAGCCAACAATGTGAGATGAACAATCAAACAACTAGCAGCTAACAATGTGAGATGAACAATGGAACAACTAGCAGCTAATAATGTGAGATGAACAATGGAACAACTAGCAGCTAACAATGTGAGATGAACAATGGAACAACAAGCAGCTAATAATGTGAGATGAACAATGGAACAACTAGCAGCCAACAATGTGAGATGAACAATGGAACAACAAGCAGCCAACAATGTGAGATGAACAATGGAACAACTAGCAGCCAACAATGTGAGATGAACAATGGAACAACTAGCAGCCAACAATGTGAGATGAACAATGGAACAACTAGCAGCTAACAATGTGAGATGAACAATGGAACAACTAGCAGCTAATAATGTGAGATGAACAATGGAACAACTAGCAGCTAATAATGTGAGATGAACAATGAAACAACTAGCAGCCAACAATGTGAGATGAACAATGGAACAACTAGCAGCTAATAATGTGAGATGAACAATGGAACAACTAGCAGCTAATAATGTGAGATGAACAATGGAACAACAAGCAGCTAATAATGTGAGATGAACAATGGAACAACAAACAACAATGCAGCTAATAATGTGAGATGAACAATGGAACAACTAGCAGCTAATAATGTGAGATGAACAATGGAACAACTAGCAGCAATGTGAATGAACAATAGCAGCTAATAATGTGAGATATGAACAATGGAACAACTAGCAGCTAATAATGTGAGATGAACAATGGAACAACTAGCAGCTAATAATGTGAGATGAACAATGGAACAACTAGCAGCCAACAATGTGAGATGAACAATGGAACAACTAGCAGCTAACAATGTGAGATGAACAATCAAACAACTAGCAGCTAACAATGTGAGATGAACAATGGAACAACTAGCAGCTAACAATGTGAGATGAACAATGGAACAACTAGCAGCTAATAATGTGAGATGAACAATGAAACAACTAACAGCTAATAATGTGAGATGAACAATGGAACAACTAGCAGCTAATAATGTGAGATGAACAATGGAACAACTAGCAGCTAACAATGTGAGATGAACAATGGAACAACAAGCAGCTAATAATGTGAGATGAACAATGGAACAACAAGCAGCTAATAATGTGAGATGAACAATCAAACAACTAGCAGCTAATAATGTGAGATGAACAATCAAACAACAAGCAGCTAATAATGTGAGATGAACAATCAAACAACTAGCAGCTAATAATGTGAGATGAACAATGGAACAACTAGCAGCCAACAATGTGAAATGAACAATGGAACAACTAGCAGCTAATAATGTGAGATGAACAATGGAACAACTAGCAGCTAATAATGTGAGATGAACAATCAAACAACAAGCAGCTAATAATTTGAGATGAACAATCAAACAACTAGCAGCTAATAATGTGAGATGAACAATGGAACAACTAGCAGCCAACAATGTGAGATGAACAATGGAACAACTAGCAGCCAACAATGTGAGATGAACAATGGAATAACTAGCAGCCAACAATGTGAGATGAACAATCAAACAACAAGCAGCTAATAATGTGAGATGAACAATCAAACAACAAGCAGCTAACAATGTGAGATGAACAATGGAACAACTAGCAGCCAACAATGTGAGATGAACAATAGAACAACTAGCAGCCAACAATGTGAGATGAACAATGGAACAACTAGCAGCTAATAATGTGAGATGAACAATCAAACAACAAGCAGCTAACAATGTGAGATGAACAATGGAACAACTAGCAGCTAATAATGTGAGATGAACAATCAAACAACTAGCAGCTAATAATGTGAGATGAACAATGGAACAACTAGCAGCCAACAATGTGAGATGAACAATCAAACAACTAGCAGCTAATAATGTGAGATGAACAATGGAACAACTAGCAGCTAATAATGTGAGATGAACAATGAAACAACTAGCAGCTAACAATGTGAGATGAACAATGGAACAACTAGCAGCTAATAATGTGAGATGAACAATGGAACAACTAGCAGCTAATAATGTGAGATGAACAATGGAACAACAAGCAGCTAATAATGTGAGATGAACAATGGAACAACTAGCAGCTAATAATGTGAGATGAACAATGGAACAACTAGCAGCTAATAATGTGAGATGAACAATGGAACAACTAGCAGCTAATAATGTGAGATGAACAATGGAACAACTAGCAGCTAATAATGTGAGATGAACAATCGAACAACTAGCAGCTAACAATGTGAGATGAACAATGGAACAACTAGCAGCTAATAATGTGAGATGAACAATGGAACAACTAGCAGCTAATAATGTGAGATGAACAATGGAACAACTAGCAGCTAATAATGTGAGATGAACAATGGAACAACTAGCAGCTAATAATGTGAGATGAACAATGGAACAACTAGCAGCTAATAATGTGAGATGAACAATGGAACAACTAGCAGCTAATAATGTGAGATGAACAATGGAACAACTAGCAGCTAATAATGTGAGATGAACAATGGAACAACAAGCAGCTAATAATGTGAGATGAACAATGGAACAACTAGCAGCTAATAATGTGAGATGAACAATGGAACAACTAGCAGCTAATAATGTGAGATGAACAATGGAACAACTAGCAGCTAATAATGTGAGATGAACAATGGAACAACTAGCAGCTAATAATGTGAGATGAACAATGAAACAACTAGCAGCTAACAATGTGAGATGAACAATGAAACAACTAGCAGCTAACAATGTGAGATGAACAATGGAACAACTAGCAGCTAATAATGTGAGATGAACAATGGAACAACTAGCAGCTAATAATGTGAGATGAACAATGGAACAACAAGCAGCTAATAATGTGAGATGAACAATGGAACAACAAGCAGCTAATAATGTGAGATGAACAATCAAACAACTAGCAGCCAACAATGTGAGATGAACAATGGAACAACAAGCAGCTAATAATGTGAGATGAACAATGGAACAACTAGCAGCTAATAATGTGAGATGAACAATGGAACAACTAGCAGCTAATAATGTGAGATGAACAATGGAACAACTAGCAGCCAACAATGTGAGATGAACAATGGAACAACTAGCAGCTAACAATGTGAGATGAACAATCAAACAACTAGCAGCTAACAATGTGAGATGAACAATGGAACAACTAGCAGCTAACAATGTGAGATGAACAATGGAACAACTAGCAGCTAATAATGTGAGATGAACAATGGAACAACTAGCAGCTAATAATGTGAGATGAACAATGGAACAACTAGCAGCTAATAATGTGAGATGAACAATGGAACAACAAGCAGCTAATAATGTGAGATGAACAATGGAACAACTAGCAGCCAACAATGTGAGATGAACAATGGAACAACTAGCAGCTAATAATGTGAGATGAACAATGGAACAACTAGCAGCTAATAATGTGAGATGAACAATGGAACAACAAGCAGCTAATAATGTGAGATGAACAATGGAACAACCAGCAGCCAACACTGTGAGATGAACAATGGAACAACTAGCAGCTAATAATGTGAGATGAACAATGGAACAACTAGCAGCTAATAATGTGAGATGACCAATGGAACAACTAGTAGCTAATAATGTGAGATGAACAATGGAACAACTAGCAGCCAACAATGTGAGATGAACAATGGAACAACTAGCAGCTAATAATGTGAGATGAACAATGGAACAACTAGCAGCTAATAATGTGAGATGAACAATGGAACAACTAGCAGCTAATAATGTGAGATGAACAATGGAACAACTAGCAGCTAATAATGTGAGATGAACAATGGAACAACTAGCAGCTAATAATGTGAGATGAACAATGGAACAACTAGCAGCCAACAATGTGAGATGAACAATATAACAACTAGCAGCTAATAATGTGAGATGAACAATGGAACAACAAGCAGCTAATAATGTGAGATGAACAATGGAACAACTAGCAGCTAATAATGTGAGATGAACAATGGAACAACTAGCAGCCAACAATGTGAGATGAACAATGGAACAACTAGCAGCTAATAATGTGAGATGAACAATGGAACAACTAGCAGCTAATAATGTGAGATGAACAATGGAACAACTAGCAGCTAATAATGTGAGATGAACAATGGAACAACTAGCAGCTAACAATGTGAGATGAACAATGGAACAACTAGCAGCTAATAATGTGAGATGAACAATCAAACAACTAGCAGCCAACAATGTGAGATGAACAATGGAACAACTAGCAGCTAACAATGTGAGATGAACAATGGAACAACTAGCAGCTAATAATGTGAGATGAACAATGGAACAACTAGCAGCTAATAATGTGAGATGAACAATGGAACAACTAGCAGCTAATAATGTGAGATGAACAATGGAACAACTAGCAGCTAACAATGTGAGATGAACAATGGAACAACTAGCAGCTAATAATGTGAGATGAACAATGGAACAACTAGCAGCTAATAATGTGAGATGAACAATGGAACAACTAGCAGCTAATAATGTGAGATGAACAATGGAACAACTAGCAGCCAACAATGTGAGATGAACAATGGAACAACTAGCAGCTAATAATGTGAGATGAACAATGGAACAACTAGCAGCTAATAATGTGAGATGAACAATGGAACAACTAGCAGCTAATAATGTGAGATGAACAATCAAACAACTAGCAGCCAACAATGTGAGATGAACAATGGGACAACTAGCAGCTAATAATGTGAGATGAACAATGGAACAACTAGCAGCTAATAATGTGAGATGAACAATGAAACAACTAGCAGCCAACAATGTGAGATGAACAATGAAACAACTAGCAGCTAACAATGTGAGATGAACAATGGAACAACTAGCAGCCAACAATGTGAGATGAACAATGGAACAACTAGCAGCCAACAATGTGAGATGAACAATGGAACAACTAGCAGCTAATAATGTGAGATGAACAATGGAACAACTAGCAGCTAATAATGTGAGATGAACAATGAAACAACTAGCAGCCAACAATGTGAGATGAACAATGGAACAACTAGCAGCCAACAATGTGAGATGAACAATGGAACAGCTAGCAGCTAATAATGTGAGATGAACAATGGAACAACTAGCAGCCAATAATGTGAGATGAACAATGAAACATCTAGCAGCCAAGAATGTGAGATGAACAATGGAACAACTAGCAGCTAATAATGTGGCTAACATTTTTTCTTCCTTGCATGTCATCTACATATCTCCCTATTTAAATGACTACATATCTGAAGGGGCTGCGTGGTCTCGAGGCATGGCGTCCACCTCGAGTGCTAGAGGTTTCTGGTTCAATTCCCGGTAAGAGGTGGGATTTTTTCACATGCAATTAGACTTCTAGTAATTCCTCCTGGTCTCTGGGTAGTGAGATCAGAAGCCCGTGTCCATTGTTGCACATGTAAAAAATCCCTTGGAAGTTGCAAGTCGAAAAGAGTAGCCTAACGGCGCTGCCTGGCATTATTTAGAGTAAAAAAAATCAACCCAAAGTATTTCAGGATCTTTGGCAGTGCAACAGAGCTTGTGTACTGTACTGAGCTTCTTCGGAATCAGATTTGAGTTAGAAGAAGAACGGAGCACTTATTGGTTACTGCCTGTGTGCCATGATGTTGATCCGTTGTTCAAACCAGACCAAACCAAACCCTAATCACCAGCCACTTCATACAGCCCATGCCATGTGCACTGAAACATACACCTGACCTCAGCCTTTTGTCTGAAGCCATGTTCAACAACTCTGACACAGATGTCACTTCACGCCATGATGCCAGATTATCCATTACCCTTTCTCATGGTTTCCCTCTACCTCTTCTCTCACTAGACTTCCGTTTCATAATGAAGCCTAGTGTCCCCTTCTCTTCGTGTGGCCACAGAGTTTAGACTTTCTCCATATCACAATGTTCACAATAATCTAATTTGATCCCTTGCTCTTCCCACGTTCAGCGCTCCAATCGAACAAGTCACGAGAAACTGGCTCAAGAAGGTCACGGGAAGGTTGAACAATGACTTACCAACACATCCCCCAAACACTCGGCCATAGCACTGTCCACAAGACTGTCTATGTCCTTACACTGCTGGTAGAGCTGCGACTTCTCTATGGCACTGCTGCACATTTCCTTGGCTTTGCTCTCAGTGATGCCTTTATCGTTGGGCCATTGTTTGCTTGGGTCCACATCTGAAATACATCATCAACATGCCAGAAATCATTTGTATGTCACTGGACATAACAAACTGTTTATGTGAGGGTTAACAAAAGTCTTTAAAAAAACAACTTGCAAAAAAAAAAAGACAGCAGGAGAGGCAGGCTAGCAGAGATGCTATTCCTACATTATGTTGATGTTGTGAAGAACTACAACATGATGATGATGATAACAATGATCCATACCTACTTAAACACTGTACCAATAGCTACTTAAACACTGCACCAATAGCTACTTAAACACTGTACCAATAGCTACTTAAACACTGTACCAATAGCTACTTAAACACTGCACCAATAGTTACTTGAACACTGCACCAATAGCTACTTAAACACTGTACCAATAGCTACTTAAACACTGCACCAATAGTTACTTAAACACTGCACCAATAGTTACTTGAACACTGCACCAATAGTTACTTGAACACTGCACCAATAGCTACTTAAACACTGTACCAATAGTTACTTGAACACTGCACCAATAGCTACTTAAACACTGTACCAATAGCTACTTAAACACTGCACCAATAGTTACTTGAACACTGCACCAATAGCTACTTAAACACTGTACCAATAGTTACTTGAACACTGCACCAATAGCTACTTAAACACTGTACCAACAGCTACTTAAACACTGTACCAATAGCTACTTAAACACTGCACCAATAGTTACTTAAACACTGCACCAATAGTTACTTGAACACTGCACCAATAGTTACTTGAACACTGCACCAATAGCTACTTAAACACTGTACCAATAGTTACTTGAACACTGCACCAATAGCTACTTAAACACTGTACCAACAGCTACTTAAACACTGCACCAATAGTTACTTGAACACTGCAACAATAGTTACTTGAACACTGCACCAATAGCTACTTAAACACTGCACCAATAGCTACTTAAACACTGCACCAATAGTTACTTGAACACTGCACCAATAGTTACTTGAACACTGCACCAATAGTTACTTGAACACTGCACCAATAGCTACTTAAACACTGTACCAATAGCTACTTAAACACTGCACCAATAGTTACTTGAACACTGCACCAATAGCTACTTAAACACTGCACCAATAGCTACTTAAACACTGCACCAATAGCTACTTAAACACTGCACCAATAGTTACTTGAACACTGCACCAATAGTTACTTGAACACTGCACCAATAGCTACTTAAACACTGTACCAATAGCTACTTAAACACTGCACCAATAGTTACTTGAACACTGCACCAATAGCTACTCAATAAATCCACGTATCCCAACAATAACTAATAAATCCAGCTACTTAAGCCAGTAAATCTATCTATTGCATCAATTAATAAACCAGTTGCACAAATAAATCTATCTATTGCTTCATTTAATCCACCTGCAGCACAAATAAATCTACTGATTGCATCAATTAACCCACCTGTTGCACAAATAAATCTACTGATTGCATCAATTAATCCACCTGCAGCACAAATAAATCTACTGATTGCATCAATTAACCCACCTGCAGCACAAATAAATCTACTGATTGCATCAATTAATCCACCTGCAGCACAAATAAATCTACTGATTGCATCAATTAATCCACCTGTTGCACAAAGAATCTATCCATTGACCGATAAATCGACCTAATGCATCAGTATAATAAACTGCCGTATATTGATAGACACTCAACGATAGAAGTAGAGCGATAAGAGAGCTAATAAATCTACTCATTGTTTCTGGAATAAATAGTTGACAAACAAACGGATTCAGATACAATAAGACACACACAAAAGTAAATCCCAAGAAAACAGCCTTTCAGGGCTTACAAATAAGAGAGGGCACACTTTAGAAATAAGAGAGCAGACATGCACAGAACATTATCAACATAGACGCATGTGGATTAGAGAGACCAACATAAGGGAGACAACACTGTGATATAATGAACGGAGAGATTAACTTTCAGTCAAACAATTTAAGCCATGCTTACAAATAAGACGACACATGCAAAAGCCATATTGCTAGGACAGTCAGACAGGATCTCACTCGATAAACCAATCTGGCACTTACAATTAACGTTCTTGTGTGTGTACGTGTCCTCCGGTTGACCCGGCTGACCCCAGGGTGAGGGTTTCAGTTGGCGGGTGATCTCTCGGCAGTTCTTGCACTGAAACAAAAAGCAACACTCTTGAGAAGCAGGGCCTATTTAAGATCACTTTGTTGTCACTTTCACCTTGTTATCGTTCCAGTTTCGTCCTTTTTAGGATGAATTTTTTTTTTTGTTATTTGAAGCCCCACCCTGGCTTTTGCAAGGGACCGCAATATAGCCAGGCCAAAAGCATGGCCAATTGTCTGAACGTGGTTTCTGGGACCTCTCCACGGCGATCCTCACCCACATGGTGGTACATTGTGTCATCGGATGTTTATCGCTTGTGTGATGTCCTGGTGGGGTAGAAAGTCAGTCAGTCAGTCACTTTCGTCTGCAACACTGACAGTGGCAGCTAGGACACGTTCGTGACACGACAAGCTCAATAGGCGAGCAGTCTTGCGAACGTCAACGGTTAGTGTTTTTTTGTTTGTTTGTAGCTGACCAAGTTTGGCAGACTGAGAGTCTGATATTTTCTTAGAAGTCAAGGCAGCCAATCAGATTAACACATTCACGCAGTGCTGTCTATTATGTGAAGAAATATTGTGCTTTCCCCAAGCTGCCTCCAGCTGTGAATAACAGTCATGGGTTAAAGTTGTTTTGTGAGTTTGTGCACCCGAGTCGGACTATCAGTACGTTACAGAAACAACTGTGCTTGGTATCCAACCTGGGAAGCCAGGGCGACACTAATATCAACCACAACATTCCGTGCCCTGCTTTCTTATCAGTGTATGCGCGCGCACATATAAGAGTGTGTATGAGTGAGAGAGAGAGAGAGAGAGAGAGAGAGAGAGAGAAAGAGAGAGAGAGAGAGAGAGAGACACGCTTATAGACGTGCACAATCAGATATTACTATTGTAGAGATCTCATTGCTCAGCAAATGCAAGAAGGTTTAGTTTTCTCGAGATCTCATCAGATCTCAGCGATGACTGAATCAAATATCCGTGTCCCCGTGTAAAAATCCAATGATTTGGCCCCTGTTGGTGTTTGGATTCGCATACAGCAGCTTATTGACGTGCCTACACAACAGTGGGCTCAAAGTATGTTAGCTACACACAATATGGTTAATGACATCCAGTCAGTGTGGAACTTACCGAGAGGTCGCTCTCCTGGATGTGCTGTCTGGGTGAGCAGGACCCGGCTGACCTCTCCTGAGAGCCAGCAGGACACGAACAGTATTCCTCAGTAGGCTTCTCTGGCACTTGTTCTGGCGAGGTCACAAACAAGCTTGCGGCACCAGCAACCCTATGGAGAGACACGGATAGCCTTGAGGGACACGACTACAACATGAAGTACAGACATTACACAACACACTGGCCTGATGTCTATGACAGTACAAGCTAGGAACGATTCCATGGGGGATAAGCACAAGAAACATTTTCAATATAAGACAGTCGTCTATAGATTGTGTTCTCTCTCTTCTCTGTCTTGTGACCTCCTCCTCAAGCAGTTAACCCCCTCTGTCTGATGTAATCAAGTTTTAGACACAAACAGTTGTGAGAGTTTCAGCCAAGACAGTTTCCTTATCCGTTTGACACAGCCCCGAACTAGTCTGTCAGAAATGCTGTCACCTATGTTCTATATAAACAGAATCCAATCATATGTGCTGAACTGTTGTAAAGATGCTCAGATAGAATGAGTCAATCAACAAAGTAAGACCGGTTAGCTTTACGGTGGAACAATCATCAGAGACAAAGTGGACGTTCCGGGCAGAAGTTCATGGCATTTGGAGAAACTTCTGTAGGAGAAGATTTCCTCGACTGCTTAACTCGCTTAATTATAAACACAATATCAACATAATATGACAGTATGACTACCACACTTGTTATACATACACAACATACAAAACACATCCATATTTCTCCCATATCTGTGCTGCTAAACACATGGCATACACAACACATATAGAAGCTCAATAACTTATAGGACAGTGACAGGCAAAATACATACACAATACATCTACATCTCCTCAAAGCTGTGCTAAATCCACACCACCCACACCTGTGCTACACCCACATCTCTCCACACCTGTGCTATACGAACATCTCTCCCACATATATGCTATAGCTACATATCTCCCACATCTGTGATACACCCACATCTCTCCCACACATATGCTATACTGACATCTCTCCCACACCTATGCTACGCCCACATCTCTCCCACACCTGTGCTACACCCACATCTCTACCACACCTATGCTATACCTACATCTCTCCCTCACCTATGCTGTACCGACATATCTCCCACACCTATGCTATACTTACATCTCTCCCACACCTATGCTATACCAACATATCTCCCCCACCTATGCTATACCGACATCTCTCCCACACCTATGCTATATCGACATCTCTCCCACACCTATGCTATACCGACATCTCTCCCACACCTATGCTATATCGACATCTCTCCCACACCTATGCTATACCGACATCTCTCCCACAACTATGCTATATCGACATCTCTCGCACACCTATGCTATATCGACATCTCTCCCACACCTATGCTATATCGACATCTCTCCCACACCTATACTATACATACATCTCTCCCACACCTATGCTATATCGACATTTATCCCACACCTATGCTATACTGACATCTCCCCCACACCTATGCTATACCGACATATCTCCCACGCCCATGCTATACCGACATCTCTCCCACACCTATGCTATATCGACATCTCTCCCACACCTATGCTATACCGACATCTCTCCCACACCTATGATATATCGACATCTCTCCCACACCTATGCTATATCGACATCTCTCCCACACCTATGCTATATCGACATTTATCCCACACCTATGGTATACTGACATCTCTCACACACCTATGCTATACCGACATATCTCCCACACCTATGCTATACCTACATCTCTCCCACACCTATGCTATATCGACATCTCTCCTACACCTATGCTATATCGACATCTCTCCCACACCTATGCTATATCGACATCTCTCCCACACCTATGCTATATTGACATCTCTCCCACACCTATGCTATACCGACATCTCTTCCACACCTATGCTAAACCTACATCTCTCCCACACCTATGCTACATGCTTACCTCCAAGACTCAGTAAATTGTACAGGAAGACATCTTCCATAATTGCTGCAGACTGGGCTCACTGTGCCATCGGGGTGGGTAAAATCGTTATCTGAAGGAAGGAGGAATAACATAGACAATCAACATTGGTTTGCTTTGGTTGTTTTATATAATTTAATGCCATATCTCCTGGTTTTTTTTTTTTTTAGATTGTATATCTAGTATGGAAGGTGTATGTTGCTTTTTTGTGCCACAGATTTTTGATGTGGAGTTAGATAGATTGATCCGATGATGGAAGAACTAAGCTTGTTGAAACGTGGAGTGAGAAGTCGAAATAACAATCTGTAAACAACATGGGACAATCTTCTTCCTCTGTGGGTTCCGGGGTCGCACAGTGGGGAAAACAATAATAAACCCGCTGCCTCCCCAACAAGCATGTCGTAAGAGTCAACTAATTGTGACTTCTTCAAAGTCTTCTGCGGCAAGGAACAACCAACTGCACATAAATTATCCAGTAAAACGGATGCACAAGCAAAACTCAAGCTCTGGTACCAAGGAAAAAGTCCAGATGGGCGAACAGCCAGGATTTTCCGCCAGAGCGTACAGCCGGTGAACAAAGAAGAAGTGCCGGACCATCTTGTTCTCCTTCTTCGCGTCCACCGGCTGTCGACTCCAGCGGAAAGTCCGGAAAGCACTTGTTGTTCGTCCACTTCTGGACTTCAATCTTGTTCAACTTAGGGTTTGCAGATCTGGTATATTTATATGCAGACTTATGTTTCCTCGTCTCTCTGTCAGACGCACTACGACTTCAAAAGAAACATCCCCAATTAGTTGGAATCTACGACATGCTTGTTTGGGGAAGAAAGTGAATTCTCCCTCATCCTCCCTCAACGGGCTCAAGAACAGCACTGTAAACACTGGAACATTCTAAGACTGACTTGTAGCCTGGCACATTGGAACATTCTAAGACTGACTTGTAGCCTGGCACACTGGAACATTCTAAGACTGACTTGTAGCCTGGCACACTGGAACATTCTAAGACTGACTTGTAGCCTGGCACACTGGAACATTCTAAGACTGACTTGTAGCCTGGCACATTGGAGGAACATTCTAAGACTGACTTGCAGCCTGGCACATTGGAACATTCTAAGACTGACTTGTAGCCTGGCACATTGGAACATTCTAAGACTGACTTGTAGCCTGGCACATTGGAACATTCTAAGACTGACTTGTAGCCTGGCACATTGGAACATTCTAAGACTGACTTGTAGCCTGGCACATTGGAACATTCTAAGACTGACTTGTAGCCTGGCACATTGGAACATTCTAAGACTGACTTGCAGCCTGGCACATTGGAACATTCTAAGACTGACTTGTAGCCTGGCACACTGGAACATTCTAAGACTGACTTGTAGCCTGGCACATTGGAACATTCTAAGACTGACTTGTAGCCTGGCACATTGGAACATTCTAAGACTGACTTGTAGCCTGGCACACTGGAACATTCTAAGACTGACTTGTAGCCTGGCACATTGGAACATTCTAAGACTGACTTGTAGCCTGGCACATTGGAACATTCTAAGACTGACTTGTAGCCTGGCACACTGGAACATTCTAAGACTGACTTGTAGCCTGGCACATTGGAACATTCTAAGACTGACTTGTAGCCTGGCACACTGGAACATTCTAAGACTGACTTGTAGCCTGGCACACTGGAACATTCTAAGACTGACTTGTAGCCTGGCACATTGGAGGAACATTCTAAGACTGACTTGCAGCCTGGCACATTGGAACATTCTAAGACTGACTTGTAGCCTGGCACATTGGAACATTCTAAGACTGACTTGTAGCCTGGCACATTGGAACATTCTAAGACTGACTTGTAGCCTGGCACATTGGAACATTCTAAGACTGACTTGTAGCCTGGCACATTGGAACATTCTAAGACTGACTTGTAGCCTGGCACATTGGAACATTCTAAGACTGACTTGAGGCTGGCACATTGGAACATTCTAAGACTGACTTGTAGCCTGGCACACTGGAACATTCTAAGACTGACTTGTAGCCTGGCACATTGGAACATTCTAAGACTGACTTGTAGCCTGGCACATTGGAACATTCTAAGACTGACTTGTAGCCTGGCACACTGGAACATTCTAAGACTGACTTGTAGCCTGGCACATTGGAACATTCTAAGACTGACTTGTAGCCTGGCACATTGGAACATTCTAAGACTGACTTGTAGCCTGGCACATTGGAACATTCTAAGACTGACTTGTAGCCTGGCACATTGGAACATTCTAAGACTGACTTGTAGCTTGGCACATTGGAACATTCTAAGACTGACTTGTAGCCTGGCACACTGGAACATTCTAAGACTGACTTGTAGCCTGGCACATTGGAACATTCTAAGACTGACTTGTAGCCTGGCACACTGGAACATTCTAAGACTGACTTGTAGCCTGGCACATTGGAGGAACATTCTAAGACTGACTTGCAGCCTGGCACATTGGAACATTCTAATACTGACTTGCAGCCTGGCACATTGGAACATTCTAAGACTGACTTGTAGCCTGGCACATTGGAACATTCTAAGACTGACTTGTAGCCTGGGACATTGGAACATTCTAAGACTGACTTGCAGCCTGGCACATTGGAACATTCTAAGACTGACTTGCAGCCTGGCACATTGGAACATTCTAAGACTGACTTGTAGCCTGGCACACAGGAACATTCTAAGACTGACTTGTAGCCTGGCACACTGGAACATTCTAAGACTGACTTGTAGCCTAGCACACTGGAACATTCTAAGACTGACTTGTAGCCTGGCACACTGGAACATTCTAAGACTGACTTGTAGCCTGGCACACAGGAACATTCTAAGACTGACTTGTAGCCTGGCACACAGGAACATTCTAAGACTGACTTGTAGCCTGGCACACTGGAACATTCTAAGACTGACTTGCAGCCTGGCATACTGGAACATTCTAAGACTGACTTGTAGCTTGGCACACTGGAACATTCTAAGACTGACTTGTAGCCTGGCACATTGGAACATTCTAAGACTGACTTGTAGCCTGGCACATTGGAACATTCTAAGACTGACTTGTAGCCTGGCACACTGGAACATTCTAAGACTGACTTGTAGCCTGGCACATTGGAGTAACATTCTAAGACTGACTTGTAGCCTGGCACATTGGAACATTCTAAGACTGACTTGTAGCCTGGCACATTGGAACATTCTAAGACTGACTTGTTGCCTGGCACATTGGAACATTCTAAGACTGACTTGTAGCCTGGCATACTGGAACATTCTAAGACTGACTTGCAGCCTGGCACATTGGAACATTCTAAGACTGACTTGCAGTCTGGTACACTGGAACATTCTAAGACTGACTCGTAGCCTGGCACACTGGAACATTCAAAGACTGACTTGTAGCCTGGCACACTGGAACATTCTAAGACTGACTTGTAGCCTGGCACACTGGAACATTCTAAGACTGACCTGTAGCCTGGCACACTGGAACATTCTAAGACTGACTTTTAGCCTGGCATACTGGAACATTCTAAGACTGACTTGTAGCCTGGCACATTGGAACATTCTAAGACTGACTTGCAGCCTGGCACACTGGAACATTCTAAGACTGACTTGTAGTCTGGCATACTGGAACATTCTAAGACTGACTTGTAGCCTGTCATACTGGAACATTCTAAGACTGACTTGCAGCCTGGCACACTGGAACATTCTAAGACTGACTTGTAGCCTGGCACACTGGAACATTCTAAGACTGACTTGTAGCCTGGCATACTGGAACATTCTAAGACTGACTTGTAGCCTGGCACACTGGAACATTCTAAGACTGACTTGTAGCCTGGCACACTGGAGGAACATTCTAAGACTGACTTGTAGCCTGGCACACTGGAACATTCTAAGACTGACTTGTAGCCTGGCATACTGGAACATTCCAAGACTGACTTGTAGCCTTGCATACTGGAACATTCTAAGACTGACTTGCAGCCAGGCATACTGGAACATTCTAAGACTGACTTGTAGCCTGGCACACTGGAGATACATTTTTTTTTTAGAGTGTTGCAGGCCAAACAATTTTTTTTGAGGCCTCAGAGTTGTGGTTTTTACAGAAGAATGAATACCTTGGACAGCCAAAAAGAGCAACCAAGAGGCTTTGAAAAAGGCGGGAGCCAAAAAGAAAACTTATCACATACATCAGAAGGAGACAGTCATCATTTTTCGGCCATGTTATGAAAAGAGGGAAAATAGAACATGTTATGACCACTGGAAAGATCTGTGGAAGGAGGGATAGAGGAAGACAACGAGAGAAGATTTTTGACAGTCTTGTTGCATTGCATGTAGGTGTGTCGGCACACGAGCTGATACGTGCTGCAGGAGATCGTGGATTATGGAGAGGCATGATCGCCTACGCCAGTCGACAAGGCACCTGATGATGATGATGATGTATTGAAGTGAAAACCTACCTGGGTTACCATCATTTGTGCCACAGACTCCTGAAGCTTTGTTCTTGTCGTATGCAGGTGTCTGTATGTACACGTTCATGTATGTGCCGTATATGTCAATCTTGATTTCAGAGCCGGACGGCAGCAGAATCTACACAACATTAACAGTCGTCAATTAGTTACAGAGCCAGTTAGTGGCTCAATTCAGAACATGGCGATACTAAGCGTTGAGAATTTATTGTTGGCTAAATTCAGAAGATTAGAGAGAATAAGAGTACACAACATTACTGAAAACTGAACAATCAAATGACTCTGGAGAACATTACATTAGTGAGCATGGATGCATTGACTCTATAGAAAACACATTACTGAACATAAGTGGACTGATTGACTATACACAACACTACATTACAAAACACAGATGACTGACTCTACAGAACATTACATTAATAAACATAGATGAACTGACTGACCCTACAGAACACTACATTACAGAACATAGATAAACTATCTAACTTTGCAGAACATTACAATTCAGAACACAGATGAACTAACTAGAAACTCCGCAAGGACGCACAACTATCGCTGCACAGATAAATACGCCCTGGCTTAAAGAGGTACACACATTTCAACAAAACCTCTCATTTCCCATAAAAGGCCAGCTAATCGGTCCAATTGTTCCCCACAAGAGGCCAGCCAATCGGTCCTATCATTCCAAACAGAAAGCCAGTCAATCGGTCCACTCATTCCACACAAAAAGGCAGTCACTCGGTCCTCTCATTCCACACTAGAGACCAGTCAATCAATCCTATCATTCCCCGCTAGAGGCCAGTAAATAGGTCCTATCATTCCCCACTAGAGGCCAGTCTATCGGTCCTATCATTCTACACTAGAGGCCAGTCTATCGGTCCTATAATTCCACACTAGAGGCCAGTCAATCGGTCCTATCATTCCAAACTAGAAGCCAGTCTATCGGTCCTATCATTTCACACTAGAGGCCAGTCAATCGGTCCTATCATTCCACACAAAGGGCCAGCCAATCGGTCCTATCATTCCACACTAGAGGCCAGCCAATCGGTCCTATCATTTCACACTAGAGGCCAGTCAATCGGTCCTATCATTTCACACTAGAGGCCAGTCAATCGGTCCTATCATTCCACACTAGAGGCCAGTCAACCGGTCCTATCATTCCACACTAGAGGCCAGTCAATCGGTCCTATCATTCCACACTAGAGGCCAGTCAATTGGTCCTATCATTCTACACTAGAGGTCAGTCAATCGGTCTTATCATTCTACACAAAGGGCCAGCCAATCGGTCCTATCATTCCACACTAGAGGCCAGTCAATCGGTCCTATCATTCCACACAAAGGGCCAGCCGATCGGCACACTCATTCTCCACAAATACATCATCAAGGGTAGCCCTATATGACCACTGCAGCTTGAATAGATGTGTTATGGCAACCAATCCTTCCAGAAATACTCCCACTGAATCTTCAGAAACATTCCAGATATTATTTTTCCTCCATAAGTTTCAGTAATGAGGACGTAACAATATACTGAACAATTGATCTCCTGGCATATATTGCGTACCTGGCAATAGGCTGACTGTACTGTTGAATTATTCGACAGTGAACGCACAATACAATAATTCTTTTACCAGAAATGTACACTATATTTAGTCCACTGTTTTAGAAGCACTGGCTGTGAGTCAGGTATGATAGCTACTTTACTGAAGGCGATTTCTAGATACCATGTTAGGGTCGCAGTCAGAACCTTCACTGAAGTAGGTTTCTAGATACCATGTTAGGTTCGCAGTCAGAACCTTCACTAAAGGGGGTTTCTAGATACCATGTTAGGTTCGCAGTCAGAACCTTCACTGAAGGGGGTTTCTAGATACCATGTTAGGTTCGCAGTCAGAACCTTCACTGAAGGGGGTTTCTAGATACCATGTTAGGTTCGCAGTCAGAACCTTCACTGACGGAGGTTTCTAGATACCATGTTAGGTTCGCAGTCAGAACCTTCACTGAAGGGGGTTTCTAGATACCATGTTAGGGTCGCAGTCAGAACCTTCACTGAAGGGGGTTTCTAGATACCATGATAGGGTCGCAGTCAGAACCTTCACTGACGGGGGTTTCTAGATACCATGTTAGGTTCGCAGTCAGAACCTTCACTGACGGGGGTTTCTAGATACCATGTTAGGGTCGCAGTCAGAACCTTCACTGAAGGGGGTTTCAGATACCATGTTAGGTTCGCAGTCAGAACCTTCACTGACGGGGGTTTCTAGATACCATGTTAGGTTCGCAGTCAGAATCTTCACTGACGGGGGTTTCTAGATACCATGTTAGGGTCGCAGTCAGAACCTTCACTGAAGGGGGTTTCTAGATACCATGTTAGAGTCGCAGTCAGAACCTTCACTGACGGGGGTTTCTAGATACCATGTTAGGGTCGCAGTCAGAACCTTCACTGAAGGGGGTTTCTAGATACCATGTTAGAGTCGCAGTCAGAACCTTCACTGACGGGGTTTCTAGATACCATGTTAGGTTCGCAGTCGGAACCTTCACTGACGGGGGTTTCTAGATACCATGTTAGGGTCGCAGTCAGAACCTTCACTGAAGGGGGTTTCTAGATACCATGTTAGGTTCGCAGTCAGAACCTTCACTGACGGGGGTTTCTAGATACCATGTTAGGTTCGCAGTCAGAACCTTCACTGCTATTCTCATGTTGGATGTTATCCTTTAAAATGCACCCTTTCCCTTTGCGATTCCACCCCATGTTCAGGTCCCATCAGCATCTACCATCTGATCGCATTAATTCTAATCACACAGATACATACCCCGACATGCCGACCGTTAGATGACCGTCTGACCACAGCACCTGGACTCAGAGGGTAGGGCACGTCAAGCGATGCGGACACCAGGTCTCCCTTGGTCTCACATCCATACACTCTGTAACAACAACAACAACAACAACAACAGTTACAACTCATGAACTAGAATAATAGAGTTGCTTCACAACATGTTTAAAACATCTACTTGACATAGTTGCGCTCTCTCACAGCCCCTTTCACACACACACACACACACACACACACACACACACACATAACGTACATACACAGACATACACATACATCTACACACACACACACACACACACACACATAACGTACATACACAGACATACACATACATCTACACACACATCAACCAGGCTAGTCCAGAAACCTACTTGATGACGTCGTTGCGTTCCCTGACCGCCACACACACACACAAACACACACACACACACACACATCAACCAGGCTAGTCCAGAAACCTACTTGATGACGTCGTTGCGTTCCCTGACCGCCACACACACACACACACACACACACACACACACACACACACACACACACACATCAACTAGGCTAGTCCAGAAACCTACTTGATGACGTCGTTGCGTTTCCTGACCGCCACACACCACACACACACACACACACACACACACACACACATCAACTAGGCTAGTCCAGAAACCTACTTGATGACATCGTTGCGTTCCCTGACCGCCACACCACACACACACACACACACACACACACACACACATCAACTAGGCTAGTCCAGAAACCTACTTGATGACGTCGTTGCGTTTCCTGACCGCCACACACCACACACACACACACACACACACACACACACACACACACACACACACATCAACTAGGCTAGTCCAGAAACCTACTTGATGACGTCGTTGCGTTCCCTGACCGCCACACCACACACACACACACACACACACACATCAACTAGGCTAGTCTAGAAACCTACTTGATGACATCGTTGCGTTCCCTGACAGCCACACCACACACACACACACACACACACATCAACTAGGCTAGTCTAGAAACCTACTTGATGACATCGTTGCGTTCCCTGACCGCCACACCACACACACACACACACACACACACACACACACACACACATCAACTAGGCTAGTCCAGAAACCTACTTGATGACGTCGTTGCGTTTCCTGACCGCCACACACCACACACACACACACACACACACACACACACACATCAACTAGGCTAGTCCAGAAACCTACTTGATGACATCGTTGCGTTCCCTGACCGCCACACCACACACACACACACACACACACACACACACACACACATCAACTAGGCTAGTCCAGAAACCTACTTGATGACGTCGTTGCGTTTCCTGACCGCCACACACCACACACACACACACACACACACACACACACACACACACACACACACACATCAACTAGGCTAGTCCAGAAACCTACTTGATGACGTCGTTGCGTTCCCTGACCGCCACACCACACACACACACACACACACACATCAACTAGGCTAGTCTAGAAACCTACTTGATGACATCGTTGCGTTCCCTGACAGCCACACACCACACACACACACACACACACACACACACACACACATCAACTAGGCTAGTCCAGAAACCTACTTGATGACATCGTTGCGTTCCCTGACAGCCACACCACACACACAGGTGACCGCCCAGCAGGGCCAGGAGCGGATTTGCACCTGGAAGTCCCTGTCCTTGACCTTGTAAACAACGTAGTCTCCGGTCTGGTAGAGGTCGTAGATTCTCCTGGGGACAAGCACAGACATGAGTGAGTGCATCGGCAGGTTGGTCAATGTGTGGGTGCATATGTGTGTAGGGATGTGCGAGTTATGTGTGGGTGACGTATAATGTTTAATTATTCATTTGTACCTTACCAGTGTTTACCGAACGTGGGTAGGACTTAGGGTTACTGACCAAAAACGACATTTACGGAAGTGTCTCGGATCTGACATGGCATGCAGACAACAAAAACATCAGCTGAGTACACCACACCGAAGCATTTGGAGGACAAAATCAATGGTAAGGTGATACTACTATTATCTCCCAAACACGCAAGTCTACTCTTCAGTATTGCAAGAAAGAGATTGACAATTTATGTGTTTCCCAATGACAGTGATGTTGTTCTACTTTAATCACGTGATTTGTTGTGAAAGTTTCATCTGGGTCTATTGTCTCAACGGTTGATTTTTTAGAATTACCTACATTAAAGTATTTCTTTTTTTTTCCCCCTGCGATTCGGCTGGCGCAGTCGCTAGCGATCTTACTACCAGCCTTGTGGTCATATGGGTCAGACTTGGAGAAAGAGCTGTTCTCCCCCCCCCCCCTCTCCCACACACACACTGACCAGCGCTTTAATGTCAGCAGCAGCCTGAAACGGATACCCAGAAATATCTGAGACAATGAAAAGCGGCTGACGTGATGTAGATTACGTAACCACAGACTTTGTTTAGTCTATATAAACACTAGAGTAGCACCATATGTCGTATGAGTATCAAGGCGTGTCAGTGTCCTTGACCTGAATGATGCCTTATCTACCGTCGTTTCAGATATGAACATTTCAACAAGGGCACAAGAACTTTTGTTTCTGAATGCAGAACAGGCGTCATTGGTCGTTTCATTCTTCTGGAGCTAATGAGGAGGAGATAGAGTACTTATGTAGCTGTCTCGAGTGCTGTGATGATCTCCTCTCTAATCACTAATCACTACCATCACCGATAACATTTGTAGACGATCACTGGAAAAAGCACGGAGGATATTCCCGATCTTGACTTGTCACTAAAAACGTTTGGTCAAAACTCACTTGCCACTGAAAACGTTTGGTCAAAACTCACTTGCCTCTGAAAACGTCTGGTCAAAACTCACTTGCCACTGAAAACATCTGGCCACAGCTCACTTGCCACTAAAAACGTCTGGCCACAATTCACTTGCCACTGAAAACGTCTGGCCACAACTCACTTGCTACTAAAAACGTTTGGCAACAACTTACTTGTCACTAAAAACGTGTGGCCACAACTCACTTGTCACTAAAAACATATGGCCACAACTCACTTGAGATCAAATCCCTGAAAGTGTGGGTCTCCTGTGATTGAACATCTGAAGCCAGCCTCCAGTCTGACCAAAATCTGAGGAGTTTCGTGATTACAGATTACAGTATGATAATCAAAGTTGACAACAGTCTGTAAATGATTATACAAAATACGTTTATCATTTCCAAAAACTGTTTTCGTGTGGTAAATTTAACTAAATCAGACATGTTCCCTGTTGTGTCATGATCGTACCATGTTCTCTGTTGTGCCATGTTCGTACCATGTTCTTTGTTGTGCCATGTTCGTACCATTTTCCTATGGTGTTATATTCGTGTCTAAATTATTTCAGTTTTATGATAATCAAACTGAAACAACCATCTGAAGATTATTATTGATAATCTGTATATAACTGTGTACTGTCTGCTGTTGTACGATTTGCTGTTGAACTGTCTGCTGTTGTACCATCTGCTGTTGAACTGTCTGCTGTTGTACTGTCTGCTGTTGTACCATCTGCTGTTGTACCGTCTGCTGTTGTACTGTCTGCTGTTGTACCGTCTGCTGTTGTATCGTCTGCTGTTGTACTGTCTGCTGTTGTACTGTCTGCTGTTGTACTGTCTGCTGTTGTACTGTCTGCTGTTGAACTGTCTGTTGTTGTACCGTCTGCTGTTGTACTGTCTGCTGTTGTACTGTCTGCTGTTGTACTGTCTGCTGTTCTACTGTCTGCTGTTGAACTGTCTGCTGTTGTACCGTCTGCTGTTGTACCATCTGCTGTTGTACTGTCTGCTGTTGTACCGTCTGCTGTTGAACTGTCTGCTGTTGTACCGTCTGCTGTTGTACCATCTGCTGTTGTACTGTCTGCTGTTGTACCGTCTGCTGTTGTACTGTCTGCTGTTGTACTGTCTGCTGTTGTACTGTCTCCTGTTTGCCTGTGCCTAGCGGTTATTACTCAATCTTATACTGCTCAATGGGCGCTCGCCTGTGGATTCGAAGGTCGTAGGTTTAAATCTGAACGGTGCTGGACTTTTTCAAAAATGACCTTGACTCCGAGGTCAACCCAGCCTTAAACTGGTACTAGGTAAAGTTATGGGAAGTAAAAGCGGCCGACGTGTTATTGGCCCTGTAACCCGCAGACAGTCGATTACCTAGATCGAGTACTATATGACAATTACACATGAAAGCTTAGAATGGGTCCAATAAATTACATCTTGCTGACTCTAAAGTTGCACTTTCTAAATATTGTACTTTCTAATATTCGCATCTAGAGTTTCACCATATCAGACCAACATGATTGTTTAACATGGTAATTACACATAACAATTAGGGGAATCATACTGTTCACATCTCCTATTTATTCTGCACAGAGCCGATCAAATATTTCAAACACAACCTATCACTGACACAGTTTTCATAGTGTCACCAACCTGTACAGGGTCTGGTCTGCTAGAGTTGAAGACGTCGATGTAAGGACCGGTGCCAGAGGCAGCCACATCTGTGAATGAGAGCACGGCTTCCCTGGTGCCCCCACTGATGGAGTTTCTGGAAGGAACTACCGTCACCTGAAACCAGATCACAAAATGATCTGTACCATTCATACAGAAACAGCCACTGCCATAGGCCTAATTAGGCTGCATGCTTCGTCATTGGCATTCGCACTACATGTTAATGTCTGTTTTAAGCGACAGGGATGGAAGGAAATAATCAAATCAAGGAAGCAGACCAAAATAAAGGCCAAAGAGAAAAAAAAAATTACCGTAAAGATTAAAAGAAATTTTTGTATGGTTGACTGTTTAGTTGGTTAGTTGGTTGTTGACTGCTTAGTTAGTCGGTTAGTTGACTGGTAAGCTGGCTAGGTATTTGCTTGGTTGAATAATTGGTTGACTGAATAGTTGGTTGGTTGGTTCATTAGTTCGTTGGTTGGCTGTGAATAATCTGTAGAGAGGTCAGCCTGCTGAAGTGGTGAAGCCGTTAGCCTAGCTTATCACAACTCAGTCTCTCTCCGACTTCCTAAATAGGTCCGTTGCTGGACACAGAGTTGGGTTCGTCTTTTGGGAATTCGCTTGGCAGGTACGCAGTTGTCTACAAAGAGAGACCCAGACATATGGGGGCGGTACTGGTGAGCAGAGAGGTCTTTTTTCACAGTCCTCTCCTAAAGTATCGCCTCCACAGTGACTGTGTTGAATGCTCTCTGGGTAATCTCCACTTTCAACAACCAGCATGGGAACGGGGACGCGGTGTAGCCATGTCATGTATATCAAAGCAACAACAGACTGACTGATCCCAGGCTGGTCATGTGTCCTCAAGGTTGAAGTATTTCAGTGTCAACTTACTCACATACAAGGCCCAAAGGGAGCCCATTTCTGGACAAATACAAGCTGATATAAATACTGGATGACACCACAAGCAGGACTTACGTTGAAGGACGACACCACACGCAGGACTTACGTTGAAGGACGACACCACAAGCAGGACTTACGTTGAAAGACGACACCACAAGCAGGACTTACGTTGAAGGACGACACCACACGCAGGACTTACGTTGAAGGACGACACCACAAGCAGGACTTACGTTGAAGGACGATACCACAAGCAGAACTTACGTTGAAGGACGATACCATAAGCAGGACTTACGTTGAAGGATGATACCACAAGCAGGACTTAAGTTGAAGGACGACACCACAAGCAGGACTTACGTTGAAGGATGACACCACAAGCAGGACTTAAGTTAAAGGATGACACCACAAGCAGGACTTACGTTGAAGGACGACACCACAAGCAGGACTTACGTTGAAGGATGACACCACAAGCAGGACTTAAGTTGAAGGATGATACCACAAGCAGGACTTACGTTGAAGGACGACACCACAAGCAGGACTTACGTTAAAGGATGACACCACAAGCAGGACTTACGTTGAAAGACGATACCACAAGCAGGACTTACGTTGAAAGACGATACCACAAGCAGGACTTACGTTGAAAGACGATACCACAAGCAGGACTTACGTTGAAAGACGATACCACAAGCAGGACTTACGTTGAAAGACGATACCACAAGCAGGACTTACGTTGAAAGACGACACCACAAGCAGGACTTAAGTTAAAGGATGACACCACAAGCAGGACTTACGTTGAAGGACGACACCACAAGCAGGACTTACGTTAAAGGATGACACCACAAGCAGGACTTACGTTGAAAGACGATACCACAAGCAGGACTTACGTTGAAAGACGATACCACAAGCAGGACTTACGTTGAAAGACGATACCACAAGCAGGACTTACGTTGAAAGGCGACACCACAAGCAGGACTTACGTTGAAAGGCGACACCACAAGCAGGACTTAAGTTGAAAGACGACACCACAAGCAAGACTTACGTTGAAGGGCGACACCACAAGCAGGACTTACGTTGAAGGACGACACCACAAGCAGGACTTAAGTTGAAGGATGACAACACAAGAGGGATTTAAGTTGAAGGATGACACCACAAGCAGGACTTGCGTTGAAGGATGACACCACAAGCAGGACTTACGTTGAAGGATGACACCACAAGCAGGACTTACGTTGAAGGGCGACACCACAAGCAAGACTTACGTTGAAGGATGATACCACAAGTAGGACTTAAGTTGAAGGACGACACCACAAGCAGAACTTAAGTTGAAGGATGACACCACAAGCAAGACTTACGTTGAAGGATGATACCACAAGCAGGACTTACGTTGAAGGGCGACACTACAAGCAGGACACGTTGAAGGACGACACCACAAGCAGGACTTAAGTTGAAGGGCGACACAACAAGCAGGACTTACGTTGAAGGACGCCTTCTTCTGGTCGGGTTGCCAGTCATCGAGACACAGCTTGTGCCGACAGGAATCCTTCAGTGTCACCACTGTATGATCAGATCAATGCAGAGGGAAGACACATCACATATATGTTTATTCTGATCTTCAAAATGGTAACTACTGGGCACAAATTTTTTTTTAAGGTACAGCAATTTTCACACAAGACATTTTTCCAGCAGATGTGTTTATAGATGACGCAATAGCGTTAATCAATCAGGTGCCATCTCCGCAATAAAGGTTGGCTGCAATAGTTCTCCTATACGCTCTATCTCTGATCTTGGTTGTACACTGTTTCTCACTAGCGTATTGTTGTCTATCCCTTACCTTTAAATTTTCCATCTAGTATACTTTTTTTTATTATTATAGTGTTATGTTTTTGAACTTCCATGAGATGCCACCTATGTATAACCACATCGACAGACGTTGTGAGATGCCACCTATCTATAACCATATCGACAGAGGGAGCTGCAACCTATGTCACATGCATTCTCAGAACAACAGAGCGACACACACGTAACCTCCAGAAAAGTAGACCAGCCCAACAAAGTTGTCAATGAAACGTGACCCACTTTCTCTGTGGAGACTAACGTAAAACTAATCCAAACTTGCATACCTGTGCTCTTGTCGACTTCCATGCTGAAGGTCACACAACAGTCCTTGACCTGGTCACAAACTACAGGGATGGTGGAGGTCACGGTGAACGTTTTCTGGCCTTCACTGTCGCTGATGTCCAGTTTGCTAGGGTCAACCTGCGGACGCACAAGCAGACACACAGATAGAGACTCAGTCTTCAGCAATACGAACATCTACCACTAGATGGTGATGCGAGACATAGTTAAATGATATCGGACAGATCTAAGTCATCCAGAACTTCATAGGTCTACTATCACGTACATGTCAATAATAACAATATAAATAACAATCCTGTGCCGTCGCTTCCTGTCGTTGAGAATTTTATGTGGTGGCACCCGCATCTCTTCCACGGTGTGACTCTCGTGTACAAAATCCACGTGGATGGTTTACATTTGTCAGTGCTGGTCAACTATTATACAGTCTACGGAAAAGTGGACTGCTGACACATGGTCAACGGGGTCACTGTCAGAATGGCCAGTCATGGACAAAGCTTACATGACACTTTCTTTTGATGTCCATTTCCAACTTGAACAAGAGAGATCCAGAGTTTGACGTGAGGATATGGTCTGGGAGAAAATATTGTCCTAGCACCGTTATATTCATAACATGATTTCCGTGTGTGGGGTGTACTACAGAACATTAGCACCGTGAGTCGATGACATGAAATGATAACAGTGGGTGTGGTGTGCCATATTAAAATAGCACCATGAGTATATGATATGATAACTACGTGTGTGGTTTACCATACACGCAGCTATGACCTGACTGACCTACTGACCAACAACAAACATTTATCGGTGATCGATTTAGTTGCAACATCAAGAGAAATGTGTGAACTTTCTCTGAGAGCAGACTGCAGTACAAGACACTGACATGTATCCATCAAATTAGTTACAGACATCAAGAGAAATGTGTGAGCTTTAGCTGAGAGATAGCAGACCACAGTAGAATACACTGACCTATATCCATTAATTTAGTTACAGACATCAAAAGAAATGTGTGAGCTTTAGCTGAGAGATAGCAGACCACAGTAGAATACACTGACCTATATCCATCAATTTAGTTACAGACATCAAAAGAAATGTGTGAGCTTTAGCTGAGAGATAGCAGACCACAGTAGAATACACTGACCTGTATCCATCAATTTAGTTACAGACATCAAGAGAAATGTGTGAGCTTTAGCTGAGAGATAGCAGACCACAGTAGAATACACTGACCTGTATACATCAATTTAGTTACAGACATCAAGAGAAATGTGTGAGCTTTAGCTGAGAGATAGCAGACTGCAGTAGAATACACTGACCTGTATACATCAATTTAGTTACAGACATCAAGAGAAATGTGTGAGCTTTAGCTGAGAGATAGCAGAATACAGTAGAATACACTGACCTGTATACATCAATTTAGTTACAGACATCAAGCGAAATGTGTGAGCTTTAGCTGAGAGATAGCAGACCACAGTACAAGACACTGACCTGTATACATCAATTTAGTTACAGACATCAAGATAAATGTGTGAGCTTTAGCTGAGAGATAGCAGACTGCAGTAGAATACACTGACCTGTATACATCAATTTAGTTACAGACATCAAAAGAAATGTGTGAGCTTTAGCTGAGAGATAGCAGACCACAGTAGAATACACTGACCTGTATCCATCAATTTAGTTACAGACATCAAGAGAAATGTGTGAGCTTTAGCTGAGAGATAGCAGACTGCAGTAGAATACACTGACCTGTATACATCAATTTAGTTACAGACATCAAGCGAAATGTGTGAGCTTTAGCTGAGAGATAGCAGACTGCAGTAGAATACACTGACCTGTATACATCAATTTAGTTACAGACATCAAGCGAAATGTGTGAGCTTTAGCTGAGAGATAGCAGACTGCAGTAGAATACACTGACCTGTATACATCAATTTAGTTACAGACATCAAGCGAAATGTGTGAGCTTTAGCTGAGAGATAGCAGACCACAGTACAAGACACTGACCTGTATACATCAATTTAGTTACAGACATCAAGATAAATGTGTGAGCTTTAGCTGAGAGATAGCAGACCACAGTAGAATACACTGACCTGTATACATCAATTTAGTTACAGACATCAAGAGAAATGTGTGAGCTTTAGCTGAGAGATAGCAGACTGCAGTAGAATACACTGACCTGTATACATCAATTTAGTTACAGACATCAAGCGAAATGTGTGAGCTTTAGCTGAGAGATAGCAGACTGCAGTAGAATACACTGACCTGTATACATCAATTTAGTTACAGACATCAAGCGAAATGTGTGAGCTTTAGCTGAGAGATAGCAGACTGCAGTAGAATACACTGACCTGTATACATCAATTTAGTTACAGACATCAAGCGAAATGTGTGAGCTTTAGCTGAGAGATAGCAGACCACAGTACAAGACACTGACCTGTATACATCAATTTAGTTACAGACATCAAGATAAATGTGTGAGCTTTAGCTGAGAGATAGCAGACCACAGTAGAATACACTGACCTGTATCCATCAATTTAGTTACAGACATCAAGAGAAATGTGTGAGCTTTAGCTGAGAGATAGCAGACTGCAGTAGAATACACTGACCTGTATACATCAATTTAGTTACAGACATCAAGCGAAATGTGTGAGCTTTAGCTGAGAGATAGCAGACTGCAGTAGAATACACTGACCTGTATTCCGGCAAACAATGTGTTGCTCTGGCGGAACTCTGATTTCATGCTGTGTCCTTGGTAGATGAGTCTGGCCTGACAGCCAATCTGGTGAGAGTATGCACAATAATGGGATTTGTTCATTGACTGAAAACTGCACAATTTAAGGCAATTTTAAAGGTAATGGAGTAATACCAGCGGGCGAACACCTCACGTTTTTCACCCCATCTCGTTTGGCTGCGTGATTTCGTAGCAGTTACCACAGGTTGTCCTATGATGTAGGGGTGTTGTGTGTTGCTTGGTTTGAACGTTTAAGCACATCCACTACTGACGACAGTCACCGCCAGGGAGTGTCAAAATAAACAAAAAAGCATCATCAGGTGTCATACGTGTGAAACACGTGACACTTAGTACTACATGTAGTTATGCACTAGATCAGTTGACAACATTAGAAGTTGAAGAGAATCTATGTCAGTAATAGGCGGATGGCGAAATGTCCAGCCATCGTGCACAAGAACAATACACAGAATATGTTTCAAATCATAGATAGGTTAGAATTCGAAACCTGCAGGCCAGTTAAGCTGCCCAGGCAATATATCAAGGCCCACACATACCATGAAAGTTTGTTGCACATTTTTGATTGAGGTAAACACACAAACGGAGCCTCAGACGGGCTGTGGATTTCAAACGTTATGTTGGTATCCTCAGTGTGTAATTTACTTGAGAAGACTGAGGCGTTTTTGAGATATCTGTGTGCAATGAAAAAGACACTGAAACACGAACAGTTCCGCCTTGAAGAGGATTCCATCACTATCTAACCTTGAACCCGCTGTACAAGCTGGCCTGCTCTAGCCATTGAGTTAACAATGTCTACAAATTTGGGTCAGGCTCAAGCTGAATCAGTAACAAAATCACCGGGCTGTATTCTAGAACAATTTCTGCTAGAAAAACGTGTTTTCTCATGATCAACATATCGTGTAGAAGATCCTTTGTAGAACGTCGCTATCATCCTAATCTGCCTGAAAGGAATTCAATCTCTCGCCAGATCTCCCGCCTCGTGCCTGTTTCTTCTCAAGGTGTCATATCTTGTGCCTATCTTCGCGATGATGGCACTGCCTTTTTCCAGCGGCCCATGTCTCTTTTTCCATGTGCCATGCCTTTTGCTAATGTGTGGTTTCCAATCCGCCGAAGCGCTTGATGTGGCCAAAATATTCCAAATACCGAGACAATATGCAGTTTACTATCCAGTCCACTCAAAGGAAGAGCGTGAAGGACTAATCTAATCAGAGATCTATACAAATGTTGCACCCAAAAAAAAAAGTGTTGTACGACTAACGATGTCCGGCCCATACACACCGTGACTGGCCGTTCATTCATGCTTGCTGACCTTTCACACGTGCGGCTTTTGTTACAGGGATGTCAGGTTGTATTGTCTTCGACGCTCTCGCCGGCAATGACGAGTACTCTGTATTGCACGATGGGAAGGCTTTTTACCACTACAGAAGATCTAGAACTGACAATAACCTTAACCCCAACCCCCCCCCCCTCCCGCCCAACCCTTCAGATACCCCACAGCCTCAGCCTAGGTCCCATGAAAGACTGCAGCCTACGTCCCGTGGTTTCAGAACTTTTACCATTTTGAAGGTCGGCCCTCTTTGTCGGTCGTCAAAGCTGACACCTAAGGTAAATTTATGTCGTACTTGAAGTCCAAGAAGGCTAGAATATACGCAGTGTTGCCAGCCGTTCAAAACAACGAGTAAAACACAAAGTGTATTTATACAATACAATACACAACCTGACACCTCCGTAACAGAAAGTCGAGCGTGCTAAAGGTTAGAAAGCATGAATGAACAGCCAGTCACGGTGTATATGGGCCAGATATCGTTAGTTGTACCAAAATCTATAATCTAAAATAGTAACTTACGTGTGAGTTGAAATGACCTTGGATAGCACTGCCATCTAACTTAGCTGTGGGCGTGCCGCCAGTGATGACCTGAGGTTCTACTTCCGGGTCCTGCTGTCCGTCAAACGTCCACACAACTTCGATGTGCTGGTTGCCATCCTGTGTGGTGGTGTTGACGTCACACTCAAAGTCAAATGACTGATTTCCTCGCAGGTAGGGCCCAGTCAGATTGACGTGCTGGAAACAATCATCAGCACCAGTCAGTCAATGGTAAACATAGACAATATTCAGCATCAATCAATCAATGGTACACATAGACAATATTCAGCATCAATCAGTCAATGGTAAACATAGACAATATTCAGCATCAATCAATCAATGGTAAACATAGACAATATTCAGCATCAATCAGTCAATGGTACACATAGACAATATTCAGCATCAATCAGTCAATGGTAAACATAGACAATATTCAGCATCAATCAGTCAATGGTAAACATAGAGACAATTCTGTATCAATCAGTCAATGGTAAACATAGACAATATTCAGCATCAATCAATCAATGGTAAACATAGACAATATTCAGCATCAATCAGTCAATGGTAAACATAGACAATATTCAGCATCAATCAATCAATGGTAAACATAGACAATATTCAGCATCAATCAATCAATGGTAAACATAGACAATATTCAGCATCAATCAGTCAATGGTAAACATAGACAATATTCAGCATCAATCAATCAATGGTAAACATAGACAATATTCAGCATCAATCAGTCAATGGTACACATAGACAATATTCAGCATCAATCAGTCAATGGTAAACATAGACAATATTCAGCATCAATCAGTCAATGGTAAACATAGAGACAATTCTGTATCAATCAGTCAATGGTAAACATAGACAATATTCAGCATCAATCAGTCAATGGTAAACATAGAGACAATTCTGTATCAATCAGTCAATGGTAAACATAGAGACAATTCTGTATCAATCAGTCAATGGTAAACATAGAGACAATTCTGTATCAATCAGTCAATGGTAAACATAGAGACAATTCTGTATCAATCAGTCAATGGTAAACATAGAGACAATTCTGTATCAATCAGTCAATGGTAAACATAGAGACAATTCTGTATCAATCAGTCAATGGTAAACATAGACGATATTCACTTTTCGATGACGTCCATGGAAATGTTGCTAATTTTTGTGACCCAAAAACAAACAAAAAATTTTATTTTTTTTGCAGGCATAGATTATTATTTTTTTTTTTATAATCAATATTCTTGATGTCACAGTGGCTTGGGAAAGACCTGCGGATCCAGAGTTGTTACGATTTAATTTTCACTGGGCGAATTTCAAAACGAATCACTCTCAGGTCAAACCAATCTACAATAGGTATCAAGCAATGTCCTAGGAAGTAAAGTCGGCCTGCATAATACTGACCCCATCGCTCACTGAGTGCCGATTAATCTATAAAAAGCATCTATGCCCGAATCTCCAGTGGTGTGTACAGTTTCTTGTGCTGACTGTGTCACCCAGTTATTCGCTTGTATGGTTCCGTCAGTTCTGGTAATATCTGTTTAGCCTCATATTCTCCAAGCACCAATGGTGTAGCTCCACAGCGTGCTCATGTTTGTACTTGTATCATTAATATCCTAGATGTCTGTCACTTGTTCGAACATAAAATCATCCCACTGTACTGACGTGAGCCCACGTGCAGAGATTGACAAGTGTGTCAGATTGTACTTTATTCCTGGTCTTCCATGAGGTTCAGGTGTTGAGATAATAATTTATGTGATGAACATTTAGTAGTCAAACAGAGAAATAAAGAAATTCAATCCACCTCTTTGCCTGAGCAGTATTTCACCACAGTCGCATCTTTTATCCCTTAATGTCAGTGTCCCTCTTCACATCAGTGTCACATGCGGCACATAATGCTAGACTCACGGTTGCATTGACCAGTAGATGACCATTCGGTGACCAGTCGGTGGCTGGTGTGCTTAACATCACTGAGGGGTTAGATTTTTAATCAAACGAATATTGTCCTCAACATTTTACGCGGAAGCGTCAGCTTTCTGCCACATGAAACCAGAATTATGCAGACAAAAGGACATGCTCTTCTCTTTACGGTTACCGTGGTGAAACAGACAGTATGTGAATGTAGTTGATTTTGTGTTTCAGTTGTGAAAATTCATTTATTTGCTTCTTATTACTCAATTTTTACTATAATATGCACCTCCAGAGATACAAGGAAATTCGCCAGGCAATACATTGTGCTGTCTATTGTTTGTGTCTTCTTTGTTTAAATATATTCATGTCAAGACTGCCTTTATCTAAAAACGCTTACAGATAAACCAGAACTAATACGTCAACATTAAAGAAAGCTTTGAGCTAAACAAAACCAAAAAAAGTAAATCATCGACACAAAGCAGACGATATTATACTATAGTAATTCACGATGTCTACAAATAAAGAACCACTTAGATGTATGCTATAATATGACACAAATACTCTACAAATAAAAAATCGGATATCGCTAGAACAAGATACAAATAATCTACAAACACGGAATCGATCAGATTGTCGCTAGAACTAGATACAAATAATCTACCCACAGAGAACCAATGACATTACCGCTAGAACAAGACACAAATACTCTACAAACACAGAATTAATCCTGACTACAACAGCAATACTTGAGCCTCAGCCAGCACAGCAGACCACCCACCTGTACTCCGAAATAACTGGTCGAGCTGCTGTAGGTGTTCTTGTTCTTCTCTGGGATGTAGAATGTGCTCACCTGGCAGCCCACCTGTGGATATACGACACCTGTTAGATAGTCTGTGTGTGGGTGTGTTTATATATGCACGACGAAATTTACATAAACGTGTGTGTATGTGCGTCTGTATATACATGACACCGTGTACATAGCGTGGTGTGTGTCTGTGTTTATATATGAATGACGACATTCAAAAAGTGCTGTGTGTGTGTATCTGTATATACACGACACTGTCTGCACAGCGTGGTGTGTGTGTGTGTGTGTGTGTGTGTGTGTGTGTGTGTGTGTGTGATTATGCATGACGCTAGAAAGCTGGTTTATTATCTCTGGACCTCAGTCATTTCATTTAGATCGTGCATCTTTGGATAACTAACATCAGATAGTGCAGCTGTGGAAACGCGATCCCCATATAGCAGAGACATGATTCCATATAATTATATAAATCCTTTTCTGAGTCACACGTGCATGAGAGTTTCTACTGTCCACAAACCTTGTGGATACTTCTGTTTGAGACCTTTTTAACCGATAAGTGATTTTATGAGTTTCTGTGTGTGGTTTATTATTGTCACTTTGTATCATATGCTTAAGAAAGTTTTCTATCCGCTAAGATCATTTTGTAGTTCTTGGCTAATTCACTTCCCATTTGTTTTGATATCTTTTTATGTTATGCTCAACACTGGGGCAGAAGTGATAGAATTTACCCAATCGCTACATCATCTACTGTATCGCTGTAGTCTCATTGTTACATCATCTACTGTGTAGGTGTAGTGTCATTGTTACATCTTCTTCTGTGTCAGTGTAGTGTCATTGTTACATCATCTACTGTGTCAGTGTAGTTTCATTGTTACATCATCTACTGTGTCAGTGTAGTTTCATTGTTACATCATCTACTGTGTCAGTGTAGTTTCATTGTTACATCATCTACTGTGTCAGTGTATTGTCATTGTTACATCTTCTTCTGTGTCAGTGTAGTTTCATTGTTACATCATTTACTGTGTCTGTGTAGTGTCATTATTACATCATCTACTGTGTCAGTGTAGTCTCCTTGTTACATCATCTACTGTGTCAGTGTAGTCTCCTTGTTACATCATCTACTGTGTCAGTGTAGTGTCATTGTTACATCATCTACTGTGTAGGTGTATTGTCATTGTTACATCATCTTCTGTGTAGGTGTAGTGTCATTGTTACATCATCTACTGTGTCAGTGTATTGTCATTGTTACATCATCTACTGTGTCAGTGTATTGTCATTGTTACATCATCTACTGTGTAGGTGTAGTGTCATTGTTACATCATCTACTGTGTCAGTGTATTGTCATTGTTACATCATCTACTGTGTCAGTGTAGTTTCATTGTTACATCATCTACTGTGTCGGTGTAGTTTCATTGTTACATCATCTACTGTGTCAGTGTATTGTCATTGTTACATCTTCTTCTGTGTCAGTGTAGTTTCATTGTTACATCATCTACTGTGTCAGTGTAGTGTCATTGTTACATCATCTACTGTGTCAGTGTAGTCTCCTTGTTACATCATATACTGTGTCAGTGTAGTCTCTTTGTTACATCATCTACTGTGTCAGTGTAGTGTCATTGTTACATCATCTACTGTGTCAGTGTAGTCTCCTTGTTACATCATCTACTGTGTCAGTGTAGTCTCCTTGTTATATCATCTACTGTGTCAGTGTAGTGTCATTGTTACATCATCTACTGTGTCAGTGTAGTTTCATTGTTACATCATCTACTGTGTCAGTGTAGTCTCCTTGTTACATCATCTACTGTGTCAGTGTAGTGTCATTGTTACATCATCTACTGTGTCAGTGTAGTGTCATTGTTACATCATCTACTGTGTCAGTGTAGTGTCATTGTTACATCATCTACTGTGTCAGTGTAGTGTCATTGTTACATCATCTACTGTGTCAGTGTAGTCTCCTTGTTACATCATCTACTGTGTCAGTGTAGTCTCATGTTACATCATCTACTGTGTCAGTGTAGTCTCCTTGTTACATCATCTACTGTGTCAGTGTAGTGTCATTGTTACATCATCTACTGTGTCAGTGTAGTCTCCTTGTTACATCATCTACTGTGTCAGTGTATTGTCATTGTTACATCATCTACTGTGTCAGTGTAGTCTCCTTGTTACATCATCTACTGTGTCAGTGTATTGTCATTGTTACATCATCTACTGTGTCAGTGTATTGTCATTGTTACATCATCTACTGTGTCAGTGTAGTCTCATGTTACATCATCTACTGTGTCAGTGTAGTCTCCTTGTTGCATCATCTACTGTGTCAGTGTAGTCTCATTGTTACATCATCTACTGTGTCAGTGTAGTTTCATTGTTACATCATCTACTGTGTCAGTGTAGTCTCATGTTACATCATCTACTGTGTCAGTGTAGTGTCATTGTTACATCATCTACTGTGTTGATGTAGTCTCATTGTTACATCATCTACTGTGTCAGTGTATTGTCATTGTTACATCATCTACTGTGTTGGAGTAGCCTCATTGTTACATCATCTACTGTATTGATGTAGTCTCATTGTTGCCTCATCTACTGTGTACCTGTAGTGTCATTGTTACATCATCTACTGTGTCAGTGTAGTGTCATTGTTACATCATCTACTGTGTTGGCGTAGCCTCATTGTTACATCATCTACTGTATTGATGTAGTCTCATTGTTGCCTCATCTACTGTGTCCCTGTAGTGTCATTGTTACATCATCTACTGTGTCACTGTAGTGTCATTGTTACATCATCTACTGTTCCGGTGTAGTGTCATTGTTACGTCATCTACTGTTTCAGTGTAGTGTCATTGTTAACTCATCTACTGTTTCAGTGTAGTGTCATTGTTACATCATCTACTGTTTCGGTGTAGTGTCATTGTTACGTCATCTACTGTTTCAGTGTAGTGTCATTGTTAACTCATCTACTCCATCCATGGAAATCTCTGGTCACTGTGGTGTCATCCTGCCTATTTAAAAGATCACATCTGCACTTTGAACCTACTTCCGTATCGAGGTGTTTCTGCAGCACGTCTCCACTCAAGGTTGCCACTTTCTGAGAGCCGATCAAAATATCCGGTTTGATGGATGGGTCGGTGACATTGTTGAAGGTCCACACTACTTGAAACACCTGGTCGGGATCGTCGGGTCCGAACTGGATCTGGCACTGGTAGTCTACTGTCTGGTTGGGACCCACATTCGGTCCCTTGACCACTGGTGGGGTTGTCAGAACTGGAGCAAGATCTGCAGCAGATTTGTAAATGTTTCTTTTATTTCTGAGTTGCTTATTTGCATTATGTGTTACAAAATATCTGACTTTGACAATTGTCTCTGTTTTGTAATACTTATGCTTGTCCCACATTACTCAAACTTGGTACTGGCTCGGTTAAGAGGTTCTGCTATAAATACCAGGCCGCCTAAAAATAATAATTCCGAAATATCACCATCTTTATCACTGTCTAATTCTCCGCATGTTTGCGAAGTATACTGGAGAAGTGAAGGCGGCACAACCTCTTCATTCTTACCGTAACCTGAATCACTTCGAATGGGGTTTGTGTACTTCGTCAGACGGAAGGTTAACAGCAATATCAAATGAGTTAGCAGACAAATAGAGTAACATAATCTAAGCATTACCTTCAAGAAAACATCAAGAACAGAATAATGGTATCCCCGATTAAATTATATATTTCCTAAGATAGATGGGATAATATGATTACTAAAATCCTTTAAAACGTGCACTTCACATGTTGTATTCTGAACAATCTGTGCTTCTACAATCTGTTTAAAGTTGCACATAATCTAGGCACCATTCACAAACCTATTCAAAATGAAAAGCACAAAATTTCCAGGTTTGAAATAGAGAACATACCTCTGTGTATCCCAATTATAACCAACAATTTGATAAAAAGAAAATCGTTGTTTAAATTACTACTACTATATAAACTTGTACATACTGGAGAGGCAGAACAAGCATTAATAAAATACACGTGGTTAAAAGTACAGCTGTTTTTAAATCAGGCATTTAAAAAAAAGAATAACAGAGGAACGGGTAGGGATGTGGAACAACAGTAAACACAGACACGGTTTAAAGTTGTTAAAAAATGTCAGAGTGAACTGCAAATGCCTTGCAATTACAAATTACCCAGACAGCCCCTTTGACTGGCCTATTTCACTACAACAAAAAACACATGTTCTCAATTGTCTGAAACATTACAGTTTGAACACTATTTTAATTAACTATGTTTGCTGCGATAAATTTAGAACAATAGAAACACGTTCCGGGGATAGACAGTTCCAGAGCAATACAGAGACGGTACAGAGACAAGGCAACATGAACACAAAGGTTTGCATGTGAGGTGTCATATCGTATCTTAAGACAGAATAATGCTTTCCCAGATCAATGTAATCGGTTTTATTAAAATTATTTTTTATTTACTATGATTACTATAATTTTTTTTTTCTCCAAATAACACTCATAATATCTGAAACCTAACAATCCAGACCTATAGAGCCTGTTACAATCAATCCCAAGATTAAATAATTAAACTGAATTAGCAAGCATAAACACACAATCTAGAAAAAGAACAGAACAACCTGTGAACACCCCCGTTACAGTCTAGACCAGTTCAACAGGATATCGTCGTGTGCATTACCCGCAAAATAAAATGCCTTCTGGGCTTAAAAAGGAAAATATGGAGCTTTAATAATATCCTACTCAAACAGGGTAAATCCACAGGTCAAGGAACAGTCTAATATTTGAGGGGGTATTAAATAGGCTACATGCAGTCGTGGGACCTAGGCTGCATGCAGTCGTGGGACCTAGGCTGCATGCAGTCGTTGGACCTAGGCTGCAAGCAGTCGTGGGACCTAGGCTGCATGCAGTCGTGGGACCTAGGCTGCATGCAGTCGTTGGACCTAGGCTGCATGCAGTCTTGGGACATAGGCTGCATGCAGTCGTGGGACCTAGGCTGCATGCAGTCGTGGGACCTAGGCTGCATGCTGTCGTGAGACCTAGGCTGCACTCTCTCGTGGGACGTAGGTGGGTTGAGGTAAGGGCTAGTTCTAGATGTTTTGGGGTTGTTAAAAGCCTCAGAAAGCCGAGAAACCCCGTCTTACCACCCTTTAAATTTTAAGACTGTCCTGTGACGACAGCTGGGATATTATATTGGAAAGAACTGAAAATATTAAATAAATTACGCATATGAAGTTCTAGGATCCCGTTGTGGAAAAAGCTAAAATAGACGTATTGCATCCCGAACAAGCATGTCGTAAGAGTTGACTAACTGGAGGGATTTATTCGCAGTCGGAATTCAGAAACACTCAAGGGCAAGTAGAGAACGATGGAGCATCAGACAGTTATTGGTAGCGTCGGAACTGGAACTCTACGCTTGCCACAACTGGAGAGTGAGCACTTATGGGAGTGGGCCGAGTGGGATCATCAACCTTTAACACACAACATTCAACATTCGACGTCGGAGTGCATATGACTGAGATACAAGGAACAAACAATCTGAATACAAATAAGTCAGATCTGTAAAATGGATGGGCACGCAACATTAAGATTCTAGAGCAAGACTAAAGTCCAGAAGAGGACAAACAACCAGAACTTTAGGCAGGAGTTTACAGCCGGTGAACGCGAAGAAGAAGATGAATTTATTTACCCGAAGATGGTTCTGCTCAGAAACACAACTGATCAGTGGTTGCGGTCATGACCGTGGTCGGAACAGCAACTGATCAGTGGTTGCGTGCATGGTTGTGCTCATAACGACAACTGATCAACGATTGAGTGCATGATTGTGCTCATAGTGACAACTGATCAAAGATTGAGTGCATGATTGTGCTCAGAACGACAACTGATCAAAGATTGAGTGCATGATTGTGCTCATACCGACAACTGATCACAGATTTAGTGCATGATTGTGCTCAGAAAGACAACTGATCAAAGATTGAGTGCATGGTTGTGCTCATAACGACAACTGATCAACGATTGAGTGCATGATTGTGCTCAGAACGACAACTGATCAAAGATTGAGTGCATGATTGTGCTCATACCGACAACTGATCACAGATTTAGTGCATGATTGTGCTCAGAAAGACAACTGATCAAAGATTGAGTGCATGGTTGTGCTCATAGTGACAACTGATCAAAGATTGAGTGCATGATTGTGCTCAGAACGACAACTGATCAAAGATTGAGTGCATGGTTGTGCTCATAATGACAACTGATCAAAGATTGAATGCATGATTGTGCTCTGAACGACAACTGATCAAAGATTGCTACATGTTAATGCTCTCTTCCCGACTGTTTAAGTAGGTGTGAGGATAAATCACCTCATAGTTTATATATTTATATATATTAGGGCGGTACCGAATATTCGCCTCTTATTCGCTTCGGGGCCGAGTAGTGGACCCATTGACTATTCGGTATTTGGCCGAATAGTTGCGGTCGGGCCGAATACGAATAGTAGTTACCTTACACCCGCTTCTGCACACACGGTCTTAAAACTGACAACATGGACCGATTGGTTTTGTGTGTGTGTGTGTTTTTAGATAAATTTCATACACTATACATTATTCGTATTCGGCCGAATAGTTGGTCCAGTTATTCGTATTCGGCCGAATAGTGAAAATCCCTATTCGGTACAGCCCTAATATATATATATATATATATATATATATATATATATATATATATATATATATATATATATATATATATATATATATATATATATATATATATATATACTGCCTGTTGCACACAACTGACTAAAGATGAGCTGTGTGTTTGTTGATGTCCTGGGTACGCCTAGTGACACGTGTGTCTAGGACTCACCTCTGCACGGCTCCAGCGATGTGTTCGACCATTTATCCACTGGGCATCTCTTGGCAGTACCTGAAATAATGTTACAGTTTCATCAAAATCTAGTCTTTCTTTCATGAGCTCTCCTCTTTGGCAAATTCTACTTTCCTAGTATAGCGGTACCTCAGGATACGTACTCGATCCTTTCCTGATCTTGAGGCGCATACCAAACAGTACGTAAACCAAACGGTACGTATACCAGATAGTACGAATACCAAAAGTACAATAACAAACAGTACGTATATCAAACAATGCGTACACCAAACAAAACGTACACCAAATAGTATGCATACCAAACAGTACGTAAACCAAACGGTACGTATACCAGATAGTACGTACACCTAACAGTACGTACACCAAACAGTATGACAAATTTACCCATAGAAAAAAGGGGATAATTAAAAATCTATTCCGATAAAGAAAAAACTATGTTTGTAATGTGTGTATTATAAAATGATTGAGGTCTATAAAAGAATGTAAACAATTTGCCTAACACAAAAATGCCTAAATACAACAACAATTAGATGAAATAAACGAAAACGTTACTGGCTGAGACGAATCGCGTGCCCATTAGGGTGGTGCTGAGAAGGGAGGAAGGTGTGATTTTTTTGGGGGGAAGGAGAGCTCCCTTTAAATAACATTTAAGGAAACTGACATTTTTGTGTGTGTGCTTTTTTTTTCCTGGCTAATTTCCTTATTTGGACATGGTTGAAGCTTACCGTGTCAAAAGTTTACTTGAAATGTGTCCGAAGAACTTTCCTCGGGATGTTTTCAGAAATGTGAAATTGTCTGGTCATTCCAGACAGTGCTGTAACGGTTTTTTGGACTTTGTTGGCGTGATAATAACCTGCAAACGTTTCCTTGTCCACGAGTTTGTCAAACATTTTCTCGATTATTGAGACAGATAAGCAAGGCTAGCGCGCGGCGCCGCGACTCATTGTAACTCATATAAGTTCGGGCATGCGAGTCGTATTCCAAACAAAGGCCTTATACCAAATAAATAATGGCACACTGGAACATGGCTAATACCAAATTAGACGTAAAGCAAAGCGGTCGTCTACCGGGGTACCACTCAAAAGGGGGGGGGGGGGGGGGCACGAAAACTATCACAGAAAGCTTATGTTGACATATTGGCACATATTGTCGTGTGGTATGAGTCTCATACCTGAAACAACCAATAAATTATACAACTGGACCATCATCCGGCTGGCTAGACAACTATCGGTCTAGCCCTACATTCCCAATAAGGCCTGGAAAAGGGACCTTAACCTTTACACTGGAACATCATCCGGCTGGCTATACAACTATCGGTCTAGCCCTATATTCCCAATAAGGCCTGGAAAAGGGACCTTCACCTTTATACTGGAACATCATCAGGATAGTCCCAGCTATGGACCTAATGAACATCCAAGACTTAAAGCAGGCGGTAACGGACCCGACACACACGGAGAGCCATGACCTCTGCCCTATGCGCCGCCCTAGGCTCAAGAGGAAAGACTAACTAACTTTTCACGGGAGGGGGGGGGGGGAAGTGGCGCAGCCTGCAACCCTATGTCTCTTGAAAGCCTACTCTTGAAAATGTATCAAACAGTTTAGGTTTCCCTTCCCCTCCCCCTCAGCTTCTGATGCTATTAATTATTATTTATGCGATGTGTCTTAAACAAATGCTAATTTTATTTTAAAAAAGCTTCACAAAATATTGTTTGATACCCTAGCTACATCAGTGTGCATATTCCACATACGTCAGACCTGCTGGGTGCTGATCCGTTTGTCATGTAACACTAACGTGTACAATAGATAGACGTTTGTGTCCATTCCTCCACATTCACAAATAGTTAACACATGTCTTCTCTAGTATGATGCCCGGTAAATCCCTTAAAGACTTGTGAAGTTATTGAGCTGAATCTCCTACAAACACAGCACAACATTGACACAGCAGGTAGTGCTGAAGACACACCCAAACAGTAGCTGCAAGGACAGTTGTATGTAGGACACAGCAGTAGACAGAACCAGGTCACAGGCGGACAGTAGACAGGACCAGGTCACAGGCGGACAGTAGACAGGACCAGGTCACAGGCGGAGAGTAGACAGGACCAGGTCACAGGCGGACAGTAGACTGGACCAGGTCACAAGTGGACAGTGGAAGGGCTAGGACACAGGCAGACAGTAGACAGGACCAGGTCACAGGCGGACAGTAGACAGGATCAGGTCACAGACGGACAGTAGAGAGGACCAGGTCACAAGTGGACAGTAAAAGGGCTAGGACACAGGCGGACAGTAGACAGGACCAGAACTCACCCGCACAGTAGCTGCTAGGACAGTTGTATGTAGGACTGAGGTAGTAGACGTAGAACTTGCCGCAGTTCTTGACGAACAGGTCGTCCTGGTAGTCACAGCATCCCTGGCTGGTCTCATTGTCCGACATCATCCCACACAAGCGACGGCCAACAATGCCATCTGCAAGCAGTCACAATTAAATATTACACAGTGTTGATTCTGTTCCAATGGCTGACACTCGTTCCTGTGTTTATTCTTTTCTACACCTGACTTACAACACCTGACTTACAATACCTGACTTAAAACACCTGACTTACAACACCTGACTGCGAACTTCTTTCTGTGTCTTCCTCTATTTATCTTTCTATAAAACTGCCGATTGCCACAACATGTTTCAGGTAATCTTTAGATATAATTTGCCAGAAAGTATTGCCTCAACTCTGGTCTGATTCCAGTGCTAACTTATCGACGCCAGAGTTGGAAAGCAACGGTAGCTGTATATAAAAAGCAGTTTTGAGAATAGATGTCTCAGAAGAGTATTAAATCTCCACTGGACAGATCTCAGATAAGACAAGAGACAAAGCAAGGAAATATATTCAGTTCTATAAGAAAGCGCCGCTAGAAATACATCGGCCATGCATTAAAAATGGATAAGAGTAGACTCCCCCAGAATCTACTCCCCGTAGAAGCTTCATCTGGGATGGCTCGACCATGGGCCTAACGAACATCCAAGACCTAAAACAGGTGAATACGAACCGCTATACGTGGAGAGATATGACCCCTGCCCTGTGAGCCATCCTAGGCTCAAGATGAAACACTAACGAACCAGCTAACTAATGCTTTCACCCCCCCCCCCCAGGATGATTTGTAGCACGTGCATTTCCAGAACTCTAAGTGCTGACCACTGCTCTAGATGACCCATGCTGGTTTTACATCACTTATATAGAACATAGGAAACACACAACAAACACACATTTAGTAGATCCATCATGTGCTGCAGTGACCACACAAAGTACATTCAATAAAACAAGAAATGAAAACAAATAATATGTCCAAGAGTGTAAGAAATAACACTCGGCACCAAGTTCATAGTTTGTAATGTCATATTTCCTTTGACAGCACTCACCGTTCACCTGTGGATGTGATCCATTCATCCACACAGGAGTAGAAGTGCCGCAGGTGTTAGAGCCAGGACATTCGGTGGCTATCTCTGTTGGGGATCCTGCAGCATCGACAAACTTATACCAGCCTTTCTTGAGAGAGTTGTCACACACAGGGATGTCTTCTGGGCGAGTGTCAAAGCCTGCGGGATGTCCAAAACAGATACAAGCTCACACTGGCATCCATACATTCAACAAACAACATGGGAATTTGTTAGTTGAAACAGTACATATACTCAATGAACCACATAGTAATGTTAGGTAGACGGCGTACATACTTTAAACCAACAACATAGTTAAGTTAGGTAGACGGCACGCATACACTGAATCTACTACATAGTAAGGTTAGGTAGACAGCACACAGACACTGAACCAACAACATAGTTAAGTTAGGTAGACAGCACACAGACACTGAACCAACAAGATAGTTAAGTTAGCTAGACAGCACACAGACACTGAACCAACAACATAGTTAAGTAAGGTAGACAGCACACAGACACTGAACCAACAACATAGTTAAGTTAGGTAGACAGCACACAGACACTGAACCAACAAGATAGTTAAGTTAGCTAGACAGCACACAGACACTGAACCAACAACATAGTTAAGTTAGGTAGACAGCACACAGACACTGAACCAACAACATAGTTAAGTTAGGTAGACAGCACACAGACACTGAACCAACAACATAGTTAAGTTAGGTAGACAGCACACATAGACTGAACCAACAACATAGTTAAGTTAGGTAGACGGCACGCATACACTGAATCTACTACATAGTAAGGTTAGGTAGACAGCACACAGACACTGAACCAACAACATATTTAAGTTAGGTAGACGGCACACAGACACTGAACCAACAACGTAGTTAAGTTAGGTAGACAGCACGCATAGACTGAACCAACAACATAGGTAAGTTAGGTAGACAGCAAGCATAGACTGAACCAACAACATAGTTAAGTTAATAGACAGCACGCATACACTGAACCAACAATAATTAGGTTAGCTAGACAGCACGCATAGACTGAACCAACAATAATTGGGTTAGGTAGACAGCACGCATACACTGAACCAACAATAATTAGGTTAGATAGACAGCACACATACACTGAACCAACAACACGGTTAGGTTAGCTTGACGGCACACATATATTGAACCAACAACAGACACGTATGTTATGTGAGCTGACAGCTTGAAATGTATTATAGTCCATAGTGCTAGAATTTCTCAGCACTAAACTGATTATCGAGTATTTTCTTCTTACTGATCATACAGAAGTTATAAGTGCTGATAATTATTTGTCCTTATTTCTCACTATTTTTTTTTTTTTGTTCTTCTCCTTCTCCTTCTTCTTCCTCTATGTCTGCCTTCCATCTTCCAATGGAGCACAGGTCGTGAATGAACTCCAGCCAAGCCACCATACCCTCCCTTATCTCTGCAACTGTCTTCACTTCACTCCCTTTCCATGTTATGGTTAGCTGCGTATCCTTTACAGGACGTTGCAGAAGCAATTCCCAACAGCCCTAGCTGTTGTGTGGTTTTTCTAAGCAAATTTACGTCCAGTACTTTGCCATTGCTTACTGGACGGTCGGCTCTCTTGAGACCACTGTCGAAACCAACGCAAGGCGCATGGCCCGCAGCTGGGATAGAACCCGACATCCCGGCATTACGAAGCGTTCGCATAGACTTAGCCACAGAGCCGACTTCCATGTTATGACTGAGTCTAAATCTATTTTCTGCATGTTTTTGTCTCCCGATATTGTCTATCTTTAACTTCTCTTCTCTGTGTCTTGTATGTGTCCAACAGGTTTCTTTTATTCTAGTGCCACAATCACGCCCTCCTTTCTGGATCCACTGGGACTTAGTTAGCTCAAGAGGTGCACATTGTCATTCGCTTATACTATTTGAATCCTTTTGTTGTGCACAAACATTACTTAATTGATTTATGTGTGTGTGTGCGTGCGCGTTTTTCACTAAAATAATTAATTTCACCTGTTAACATGGAAATATATTCTTGATTTACCTGTATTTCTGTAGTGTTGATTGAGTTCCGTATGCCATTTGGGGTTGCACGGATAATCTACGTCTGCAAACATTTGCGCGGTGGTAACCACTGCAGGAACAAGAACAATAAAAATTATCATTTTGCACCACCAATATTTAATAAAATACAGCAATAACTGCTAGAAACCACAACAATAAATGTTCTGTACATGCGAACAGTAGTATATAGTTGAAGCTAGCTAATGCGTGTCTGTCTGTACCTACTGTTGCTGGCACCTCTCTCTGTGTCCAGACGATCATGTTCGGTTCTGTACACGGCCCATGGCGATACCAGTTATGGTACAAAACTAGAGCTGATCAAAATCGTGGACAACTAGTGACACAAGAGAAACACAGATAGACATAGAATAGGTAAGTGAGCTTTCCGAGTGTACACTTTCTCGTGACAGCAGGCGGATGTCAATCCTGAAAAATATTGGGACTTTGGACCCTGACGTTTTCGGTACGACGCAATTGATAGCGGGTTCATTGGTTAGCCTGAACAATCACGCAGTTCTGACTCTCTTCTATCGTCTATAGTTTTTTTAATGAATTCATGATATCCGAATTCTTACCTTCACGTCTTGCGTCCGCAAGTGTTATTGTCTAGACTTTTCAAGATCAAACAACTGGCTACTTTCAGCTGGAACTTCTCTAAATATAAGAAGCTAAAGTGCATACATGTTGATACACAACGAGGAACGCGTTACAGAAACTATCCCCGAAATGCGTGGATCTAGAAGGACACTACAAGCGTCAAGGAGGTTTATAGCTAACTTGATTTGTTTCATTTCCGTGGAAATGACCTTTGACATCATGGATAGTTGCGCGGATTTGTTGCGCAGGACTGTCGACTCCAATGGCAAATATCTGTTTGCTACAGGATTTGCTGATGATCTGTCAAATTGAGGGGAGACCACAAGTACACAAATCAAAACCATGTTCACAAATCCGGCTGAATTATTATTGATGAACGTCAGTATAATAATGCAGTTCACAATCATAACTTATTATCGTTGTATTGCCTTCAATTGCCTCGTCAGGTGTTGAAAAAAACCCACCTCATCTGACCACAGGGATCACTAGAAGCACCTCATCTGACCACAGGGATCACTAGAAGCACCTCATCTGACCACAGGGAGCACTAGAAGCACCTCATCTGACCACAGGGATCACTAGAAGCACCTCATCTGACCACAGGGAGCACTAGAAGCACCTCATCTGACCACAGGGAGCACTAGAAGCACCTCATCTGACCACAGGGATCACTAGAAGCACCTCATCTGACCACAGGGAGCACTAGAAGAACCTTATCTGACCACAGGGAGCACTAGAAGCACCTCATCTGACCACAGGGATCACTAGAAGCACCTCATCTGACCACAGGGAGCACTAGAAGCACCTCATCTAACCACAGGGATCACTAGAAGCACCTTTTCTCTAGATCACCTGTAAATCCTGGTCTCAGCCTGACCGAATATCTGTGGGTGGATGAGGGGGGCGCTTGTAGCTGCATCTGGCCAATGGCGGGAAGATATCGCTAAAGACTCCGTGCCCTCACCAGTATTTGTTCCGAACAGTGCTTCGCACCAGTATTGTGGCTATTAAAGTACATCATTATGACCATTAACACATTCAATAAAAGCTGAGGAGAATGGAGCTCATGACACTGTAGACTTCAAACACATCACTAACGACAATCATGACGCTGCGGAACACACATTCGTCTGTTGAGCTTGGACCAAATCAGCTCGCTAGCATTACAGAATCGTCGTGGAAATCAGCGACACATTTCGATATGAACGCATGCAGAATAGTAGCATAGATATTGGTGTCAACAGATCAGCAGGTTAACTGAAGTACTGGCGATAACAAGGAGAGTTCCGTGGCTTGGGCCAGACAATGACAGTCATGCTTGTATATTTGGTGGTTCTCTGGGCATGTGTTAGATTGTCAAGGCTGCTTCTACGACATACATTTGCTTGTTTTCCGATAGGTTCCAGAACTCAACATCTTCCCAATAGATGTCAGCCTAATGGAAAACCTCTTCTTCTTCTTTGCGTTCCCCGACTAAAAGTTCTGGTTGTTCATCCACTTCTGAATTTTAGTCTTGTTCCAGAACCTGAGTTTTACCGGCATATCCGTTTGGAAGGACTTGTGGGACAGTATCATGGACCTCCATGATGGAGGACTTGTGGGACAGTATCCTGGACCTCTAAGATGGAGGACTTGTGGGACAGTATCCTGGACCTCCAAGATAGATGACTTGTGGGACAGTATCATGGACATCCAAGATGGAGGACATGTGGGACAGTATCCTGGACCTCTAAGATGGAGGACTTGTGGGACAGTATCCTGGACCTCCAAGATAGATGACTTGTGGGACAGTATCATGGACCTCTAAGATGGAGGACTTGTGGGACAGTATCCTGGACCTCCAAGATGGAGGACTTGTGGGACAGTATCCTGGACCTCCAAGATGGAGGACTTGTGGGACAGTATCCTGGACCTCCAAGATGGAGGACTTGTGGGACAGTATCCTGGACCTCCAAGATGGAGGACTTGTGGGACAGTATCCTGGACCTCCAAGATGGAGGACTTGTGGGACAGTATCCTGGACCTTCAAGATGGAGGACTTGTGGGACAGTATCCTAGACCTCCAAGATAAAGGACTTGTGGGACAGTATCTTGGACCTCAAAGATGGATGACACCAAAAACCTATGTGGAGAGTTAGGCTGAGATCAGCAATGTCAGATACCGGAACGTCTAGCTGTACGCGCCTAAACGTCCAGGTGTTTCTTCAGCCGTGCCCCAGCGTCCAGGTGTACCTTCAGCCGTGCCCCAGCGTCCAGGTGTACCTTCAGTCGTGCCACAGCGTCTAGGTGTACCTTCAGCCGTGCCACAGCGTCTAGGTGTACCTACAGCTGTGCCCCAGCGTCTAGGTGTACCTTCAGCCGTGCCCCAGCGTCCAGGTGTACCTACAGCCGTGCCCCAGCGTCCAGGTGTACCTTCAGCCGTGCCACAGCGTCCCAGTGTACCTTCAGCCGTGCCCCAGCGTCCCGGTGTACCATCAGCCGTGCCCCAGCGTCCCTTTGTACCTTCAGCCGTGCCCCAGCGTCCAGGTGTACCTTCAGCCGTGCCACAGCGTCTAGGTGTACCATCAGCCGTGCCCCAGCGTCCCGGTGTACCTTCAGCCGTGCCCCAGCGTCCAGGTGTACCTTCAGCCGTGCCCCAGCGTCCCGGTGTACCTTCAGCCGTGCCCCAGCGTCCAGGTGTACCTTCAGCCGTGCCACAGCGTCTAGGTGTACCTACAGCCGTGCCCCAGCGTCCAGATGTACCTTCAGCCGTGCCCCAGCGTCAAGGTGTACCATCAGCCGTGCCCCAGCGTCCAGGTGTAACATCAGCCGTGCCACAGCGTCCAGGTGTACCATCAGCCGTGCCCCAGCGTCCAGGTGTAACATCAGCCGTGCCCCAGCGTCCCGGTGTACCTTCAGCCGTGCCCCAGCGTCCCGGTGTACCTTCAGCCGTGCCCCAGCGTCCAGATGTACCTTCAGCCGTGCCACAGCGTCTAAGTGTACCTACAGCCGTGCCCCAGCGTCCAGGTGTACCTACAGCCGTGCCACAGCGTCCAGGTGTAACATCAGCCGTGCCCTAGCGTCCCGGTGTAAATTCAGCCGTGACTCTCATTATTTAGTAACGGCCGGTTGTAGTCAATATAGTTTCATCAATACAGTTCGCATCTGGGGTTAGTGATTGTGAATTTGTTTCACAATTCCTACATACTAGGCCCGCTTCAGCTACAGGCGATGTGGCAGCAGACCATGTTGGTTTGATTTCGACACCCAGTGAACGTCGACTTTTGAAAGAGAGCAATGGCAAACTACCAAACGTAAGATTTTAAATACTCAAACAGCCAACAAGTGCTAGCATTAATTTAAGCTGAATACTCTGCCATTTTTGACGTGTATCCGCCCATCTGTTCGATGATACCTTCGTGAGTGCATATCAATGCCCTAAGTGTATACCCGATGCTACGTCAAGATCCTCAACCTTTGCTACTTCCGTCAAAGGTTCAAAGTTGGAAGTTAGAATGCTAAACTTCGGAGTGAAGAGCGTAGTTGTAAAACATGGAGTCGCACAATGAATGTCTGTGTAAGTGGATCAATCTGTACTAGCAGTGGTCAGAGAACTTTCGAACATGTCGAACGGTGTCGCCGGCTGAACTCAGTGAAATGAACCAAAGCAAGCGTCATGTTTCCCTATCTCAGACTATCACCAGAATCACGGATCAGCTCCATGTTTTTGCCTCGCCCCATACATCTGGCCACTCCTCTTGCTCTGTTTCCATCAGTGTTGCCAGAGTTGTTACCAAGTTCTCGGGGTAATACCATTTCATAATATATCCCAAAAATATTGACCTTTTACGTCTAATTAGTTTATGACTTTTATTATTAAAAAAAAATTATCACAGACTGGGTTAAAATATTGGTCCAAAAAATCCGACACACATACATTACCTAACAGAGAAAAGATGGCAATACGAGGTATTAAAATACGGTCCATTTTGGTGGAGTCGCTTTGTATACATCACAGTCTGGGCGCGAAAACAAGTGGATTGCCCAGTCGACAATCAAACGACATTTATATCACTCAAGCCGGATTCATATTTCTGCAAACCTGAACTGTCTGCTTGTTTTTTCGTGAATTTTTCATCAAGAATCCATAAAAACATGTCGTTGTGCGCATGTTAGGGTTTTGTATTTTTCTCAAGGCTGTAAACAAAAGTTGTTTACCTTGGCGGAGGCAATCGCTGCCTCCCATTCGCTTTCACTGAGGGATGATTGGCGCGCAGGTCTAGTCACGAGATCTCCTGTTTATTATTGGCTGACAAGATGGCATTTCTGTCCTCCATTCACTTATTTGTTCTGGTCTAACAATCGTCACAATTTATGAAGTGTCACTTTCCGGCCAGGTGTACGGATGGTCTTAGATTTATGATTTTTGCATTCAAGTGCCAGAGAGAGAAAGACCACAAACAAGATTTACCTGCGACGTTGTTGCAAGTCTTG